GAACCACCAGCCTTCTGGTTAGCAATCAAGTGCCTTAGGCACTATGCTACCAGAGCTCCCAGCAATCTTATAAGTAGGTATATATCCTAAAGAAGTGAGAGCCAGGACACTAATAGATATATGCACACTCATGTTCATCACAGCACTATTTACAGTAGCAAAAAGATAGAAACAATCTACATGCACATCAACAGAAAAATGGGTAACCAAACTGTGGTACATACACACATGGAATCTTGTTCATTCCTGAAGAATAGTGTAGAGTCCACAAAACACTGCATAACATGGATGAACATGGAGGACATTATGCTGATTGAAATAAGTCAGTCACAGAAGGACAAATATAGTATTAGTTCATTGTTGTAAAAAGTCAAGGAGAGGTTTATATATGCAAGGAAACTTTTTTTGTTGGTTATCAGGTGTGAGAGGGGATGGGAGGAAACACTTCAAAAAAGAAAATGTATTGACCTATGTCACTTTACTTTTGTGTATTTAACTGTACATTCAATGAAATGTATTTACAATACAGACACACATACACACACACACAAAAATGACCAGAATTACTGGTCAGATACAGTCTGGTGGAACCCCCAAGACCAAACCAGGGCCCCTGGTTACCCTTTAGTCCTAGAATTGGACTCACTCTCATGGATTAGCTTAGTAGAGAGACCTACATGGGGACACCTACCCCAGATGATGCACCCACCTACTCTAGGGAGATGCACCCCTTAGAATATTCAGCTGTGAGGCACCAGAGGGTCAGCATTCACGTAGAGGGAAAGCTGGAAAGACGGGGGAGTGCATAGTTAAGAAGGGCATGGGGGTTGGGTAGTCTTGGACAGGACGGGAAGAGAGTTTGTTATGGTTGAGGATGTTAATTGGAGCATCAAATCAAATGTACATGAGCTGTTGAATGTAAAACAAATTTACTCTCTAAATTTGCACCCAAAGCACAATTAAAAAAGAAGACATTTACTCCCATCACCTCAATGAAAGTGAAGGCAGAATAGATTACATAGCTCTCTGCTGGCCTTCCGGGATCTACTACTCAAAAGGGCCCACTTCTGATCCTCAGAGTGGATGTTTCATGAACAGATTCTACATAGAAACATAGTGGAAATAAAAACTTAAATGGAGGAAGGCCACAAGTTAGATATTCAGATGTTGAACTCAATATTAAGAAATACAATTGTGGAAGTCTTCCATCTCTAAATAATAATTGAAACAATGGAAGTTAATGATTCTATTAAAAGAAAGATAAAAGGACAGAAGAAATAACACTTAAGGAGAAAGTTAGAGTGAGAAGATTCAAAGTGTAGGTAACTGAAGAATGTTCATTTATTAAACAATTGTCAAGTTTCTACCACATTTCAGGTGGTAGTTCTCTGGGAGATTCAGTGATGCATAGCATATGATACCTGTTCTAAAGAGTTCATTGTCCAGTAAGATTGACAAGTATGTAAACAAATAATTTCTATGTTTTGGAATAAGAAATAAAAGTAAGTGATAGTTATGACAGGGTAGCATGAAGAGGGATTTACTGAACTCAGGCATAAAAAGAGGCTTCACAGACTAGTAGAGGCTTGAGCTTCTCAAGTATTTGAAGATTTTGTTGTATTTTTGAATATTGCTAAGCAGGGTAAATGATAAGAACTGTGTTTTAGGAAGCTCACTCATATCATTGTGAAGATGTACTGGAGAAATGAAAAACAAATTAAGGAGACTCTTGAGCAACCAGGCAAGAGACCTTGAAAGTGATCGTGTTCAGGAAATAGATGTGAGAGATACTAAGATGGAACAATCAGTGGGTTCTAGAGACTGCTTAAATATATTACAGGCAGACGGTAGTAGGATAGAGGGAAGAATCTAGGATATCTTTAGGTTATTGGTTTGAGTGATTGGTGGATAATTGTATCATGAATCAAAATAGATGATTTTGTAAAATAATAATGAGCTCTATTTTGTAATGTCTATAGGATATGTAGATGTAGGTTTCTTACAGGCAATTGTATCTAGAGGTCAGATCTTTGATGTTGAAACCTGGACTAACTAGTTGCTGTTGAATTACTTCCAACTCATGGTGATCCCCTGTGTACAGAGTAGAACTGCTTCATAGTGTTTTCAAGGCTGTGACCTTTTGGAAGCAGGTCAGCAGGAGTTTCTTTTGAGGTGCCTCTGAATGGGTTTGAACCACTTGTCTAGTAACTTGTCTAGTGCTTAATCATTTGTACCACCCATGGACTCTGAAATTTGGACCAGAGTTGCATGTCTAAGAGTTGACAGTGTTTAAGTGGTAAAGCTTGGATACTGAAGAAAGAAGTTTATAAAGAATGGAAGAGGATGAAAGATACAACCCTGGGAGATACTTAAAGACAAGTAGAATAGCTTTTGAAAAATTGACAAATGATCAAAGAAGTTGGAGAGCTAGGAAAGTGTAATGATAAAAGCAAAGACAATACAGCAATTTTAAAAGAAGTTGGTCCTCAGTGTGGATGTTGCAGAATGGTCAAGAAGGATGAGGACTGAGATGGCTGTTGCTTTTCTTATTTAGGGAATGATTGGACACTGCATAGAGAGCAGCTTTATTAAAGTAGCAGGGACAGAAGGCAAACTCTGAAATGGGAGTAACGAAGGGAGACATTAGAGGTAATTAACAGACTAATCTTATTTAAGGTAGGTGAAGAGGTAAGAAGTACGGGAATGGAGAGGTAGGAAAAAGATAGTTTAAGGAAAAGAGTTTCGGAAACTACAGGTAACCTGAACATAGTATGTTTGAAGGACAGGAGCCAGTGGAGGAGGCAGCAGGGGGAGATTGAAGATGCTAGAATTATGGGGAAGGGAAGATGGCACAAGAATCTGAAGGATATATGTGAGGAGGTAGGTCCAAGAGCAGAGATGAGAGAGTTTTAAATGGAATGAGGACATTTCTTTCTTTAAGGGGAAAAACAGATTAAAATAAAGAAAAAATTCAGGTACACGGAAGAAAGAAAACAAGGATTTTGAATTAAATGTTTTTAAGATGGTACTGAAATGATTTTCATAGCATAAGGGAGGGATTTGGGAGGTGTGGTGTAAGTGCTTCTCATTGTAGAGTTGTAATAAGAATCAAGAAAATAGCTAAAGCTTTCAAATGGAACTTAAGAAAAAAGAAGAACAGAGTAGAAAATAACCAGTTAATAAAATGAAGCAAGGAAATAAGAGTGGCCTGAGCCAAGTGTAATATATCACAATAACTAAAGAATATGAGTTTAAAGGAGAAGTTAACCATGTTAGGTACTAACATCAAGACAGAGGCTTATGTTTGGACTTGAAGAGGTCATTCTTTTGCACTAAAACTGTAAATACCACTTCCCAAAACCACACACTGCATCAAGTCTTTTCTGACTCATGGCAACACCCATAGAGTTTATGACGTAAATCTTTATGGAAGCAGACTGCCTCATCTTTCTCCTCCAGAGTGACTGGTAGGTTTAACTTCTGACCTTTTGGTTAGCAACTGAATGCCTTAACCATTGCAGGGGGTTAGGGTTACTGGGCAGGGAGGGGAGGAGACTGGGTTACGGTTGGGCATGGTAAATGGGGAGTGAAACTAAATGTACATGTAACATTGAACAAGTTATTCAAATAAAAAAACACATCCAACACCGATATGGCCTCATTAACATAACAAATAAAACCCTATTTTCAAATAAGATTACATCCACAAGTCTAGGGGTTAGGCTTTCTACACAGCTTTTGGGGGAACACACTTAAGTCCATAATTCCAGAGCATGAACATATGGCCAAACACAGCCGATGGCATTCGAGGGAATGCCTGCTAGGAGGTTTTGGGGAAAGTTTTCCTAACTGGTTAAAAAGAAAAAATAACAAACACAAGAGAAATCCCCTTCCTTTTTTGTTTTTGGCTGTAGTCTTCTAAGGATATGATACCTGAAGCTATAGTAACCATCTGAGATCATGAGGGTACAAAAAAAAAAAATTAAAAAACATTCCATTACGTACTGAAATATTAAGTGTGAGTTGGTTTTGAAAACCCATGAGGAAATGAAATACTATGGAAAGGGTTTCTAATAAGGTTATCTATTGGGAGAGTAGAACACCTAAAAAACAAAAACAAAAATAACCCCCAAAACCAAACGCACTGCCATTGAGTTGATTCTGACTCATTGTGACCCTATAGGACAGAGTAGAATTCCCCCATAGGGTTTCCAAGTCTGTAAATCTTTATAGTTCCTACGGATCAGCCTGTAGATTAAAACCACTGATCTTTTGGGTAGCAACCATATGCTTTAACGACTGCTCCACCTGAGCTGCTTGTAGAATACCCAGTAATAGTAATAGAAAGATGTCCTTGGGGAGAGGGAGGAATTTAGAGGGAAGAGAGGAAGTGTCAGAAACAATTGTTTCACACTTTTTCCTAGGATTATCAATTTCAAACTGTTTTCAGCAGAGCCCTACAGTTTGGTGAATGTAATCAAGGGTAACAAAGGAAGAGAAGCAGAAAGAGCTCTCTGCCCAGTCGTTTGCTCCCACTCCTCTTAACCTCTGAACTTTGCTTTTATGTGTTTTACATTTTGGGCAGTGATTTTAGTGGGAGTTTTTTTGTGGCTAACATTTAAAAAATTACTTATCTAGAGTATTGGCACTAAAATTAGCCATTAGTAACTTGGATGCAGAAACCGTACTTGAGTTGTCTGTCTTGTCCACGTGAGGCTAGAGCTCTGTTGCTTTCAGGTGACAGTGCTGTTGCCCTTCTCTATCACAGCAAGTTAAGGATTTCTGGACAGGCTGGAGCTACATCATCCTCCTTGTCCTTTGTTACTACCCAGGAACTTCACTTTGCTCCTTTTCACTACAAGGCTGGAGACTTAAACTCATGGAATTCTTAGTCCACTCTCCAGCTTATTTCTGATGTCATTATTTACATTACTGGTTTTGATTTGAAATACAAAAAATTTATGACCACATTAATATGTCCACTTAAAATATTGTTTTAGGTGCAAGCTGAAGAAGAAATTTTAGAGAAAAATCTAATTAACTGTGAGAAAGAAAATAAAAGACTACAGGAAAAGTGTGGTATATATAAAAGTGAAGTTGAAATTCTGAAAGAGAAATTAAGGTACAGTATCCTATTATGATACAGGATTTTTGTGTGGAAATGGGAAAAAAAAATGAAGAATTTTAAAACAATATTTTGTGTATTATAATTGTGATCTTAAATTATATAGAAAGAGTTCATAATTGAAAGTTTTCTAGGTATAAAGTTAGAATTTTAACTGTGTTAAAATACATGTTAATATGTACTTGTAAATATAAAGTAATACTGATGAAACATATTTGCTTTGTGTATAAATGAAGGAAATTAACATATACATAATGTCCTTCTAGTATGACCACATTAGCTAGCTAGTGAAATATGTATAATGGCAGATACTCAAATAAAAAAAATTTCAAATCATGAAGAATCACCTAATCCAATTTTTCTCATTTTATAAATGAAGGAACTGAGGCCGAGAGAGTAACCATTATTTGTCCAAGAAAGACCAAGAATGAGAACTTCAGTCTTCTGGCTCTTGTACTCTCTCAACTATATCATGTTGCTCTCTCGGAACTAAACTCTGTCAAGTTAATATTACTTAGTCCTTATCACCTCAGAGTATTGATTTTTTTAAAAAAAGGGAGAGCACTTATAGTAACTAAGTTTGTCTAATTTAAACAATATTTCATAATGATCATACATTTAGTATTTTTGTCAAGGTGTTGGGCATAAAAATAGTTTTATGATAGTCACCTTTTGACTATCACTTGCAAGGTATAATTTTAAGAAAGAAAAATGCTAATAATTAAACTGTGATATATACTTTTCACTTAAAATTTTATTCTGTAATTTATGAAATAATTCTCATTTACTTAGATCTATGATTTTTAAATCATTATTATTTTTGTATAAAAAGGAAAATATAAGTGAAATCAGTTGGTTAAGATATTTCTAAAACTTCATACATTCAGAGTATGACCTCTCGAATTATTACACAGAGGTCCAAGTTTTTCTGCACAGTATCTTCCTGTGTGCCATCAAGAGTATTGCTGATATAGCATTTCCTGAGAGAATCCTTTTAAGAACTCAGAGCCATTGACTGGACTCATAAGCTGACTTACAATTATGTAGAACCAATCTACTTTTAACTTTTCAGGAATCTTGTTGCACACATCTTATTTACCACCTACTATACTCTTCCCTACAACCACTTGGTTTCTGGGGGGCTTAAAATGCTTCATTGTTTGCTGGTTTTTCTTCCTATTTACGTATCCTGTTCTGTAAGTTTTGCTGCAGATTTTTTTAATGTTTACATATGCATAAGCAATTAAACTAGATGGTAATGGCTGCTTAATTGACATCTCATATCAGGCACTATTGATTATCCCAATTTCACAGATGTGAAAAAGTTTCTGAACACTTACTGTTTTGAAATACAGTAATAATTCTAAGCATAAGATTGTTCTAATATTCGCCACATTTTTATAGGTACGTATAAAGGTATGTGTCACTTAAATACAACTGCATATATGTCCATGGGGTCGGGCACTAGCTGTCTGAGTGTCAGGACACCAGACTCATGTTGAGGTCAGAGCACCACTTCTATCCATCTGCTTTGTGTAGCCCAAAAGCCAAGCTGTCTAGTCTGTGGTGATGAAGGCCCAGGTCCAAACTCCTAATCCGGTCCTCCTCATTTCCATGACTCACTGGGTCCAGTCCCCACATTTTGCCTGATGTGGTCCTATTGGGTGCTGATGGAAAAGTATGTACCCCAAGTGCACCAGCCCTGACTCAAGTGCTCTCTACCATCTTGGCATTCACGATTCTCTCTGTGGGTAGGTTCTCATGCTGGTTCTCAGGCATGCTGGCCTTCCCAGCTAGTTTAGCAGAGAAGGTGGCAACAGCTAGATGAGACCCAGCTGAGCACTCACTCACCCAAGGCATCTGCAGTGGGAGCTGCCTGGGCCACATTCCATACAATAGCCCTTGGCCCTTTTTCCTAGAAGCCCAGAGCTCTGTGGACACGGGTGTTTGTGCAATGTCCAAATCATGTAACGTACTGTTTCACACAATATATTGTGAACATTAAGTAATGCATACCTGTATTTGAAAATATTATCAGTTACTAGTTGCTATTGAGTCAGTTCCAATTCATGGTGATCTCGTGTGTCAGAATTAGAACTAGGATTTCAGTGGCTGATGCTTTGGAAGTTGGTAGCCAGGCCTTTCTTCCAAGGACCCTCTTAAACCTCCAAATTTTTCAGTTAGCAGCCAAGAGTGTTAGCTGTTTATACCTTCCAGGTACTTCTGTATATGAATAGAAAGTAATAATAACATCAGCTACATAAAGTTGTTAGTGCCTGGCATGCAGAAAAGGAGCCCTGGTGGTTCAAGTTGGTTGCTAACCAAAAATTGGTGGTTTGAAGTTACCAGCCACTCTGTGGGAGAAAGTGCAATTTGCTTCTGAAAGATTTGTAGTCTTGGAAACCCTGTGGGTCAGTTACACTCTGTCCTTTAGGGTTTCAGTGAGTCAGAATTAAAGAATTAACTCCAAGGCAGTGAATTTAGTTTTGGTTGGCATGCAGAAAATAGGAGCTCAGTAGATGTGAGCTGGTATTATTATTTCAGAATTAATATTTACAGTATCTATAAAATGAGATTAATTGAATATAGTTTTTGAAAATGAATGCATATTTTGTTTTCATATGGTTTTTCTTCATAGGCAGTTAAAGGAAGAAAATAACATTGCAAAAGAAAAATTAAGAGCTATGGCAGTGAAAAATTCAGAAGTCGTGGCACAGTTAACTGAATCTAGACAAAATGTTCTAAAGCTGGAGAGTGAGTTACAGGACAAAGAAGAAGTACTTAGAGAAAAGTTTTCTATAATGAATGAAAACAAAGAATTAAAGCTCCGAATTACAACACAGAATGAGCGACTAGATTTGTGTCATCAAGAAATTGAAAGTTCAAGGGTAGAACTGAGGAATTTGGAAAAAATAATATCCCAGTTGCCAGTAAGTGTGTGTGAAAAGAAATGTAATATATTTGATTAGATAATGGAAAAGGAAATTTTACTGAATGTTTTATAAGAAAACATTTTATGACTGTTTTATTAACTTTATTTTTCCCCTGTCTATACTCTAAATTATCATTTACTTTTATTACCTAGAAAATAAATAGTTGCTGTTAGTGCCTTACGCACTATGCTACCAGAGGGGTTGCTCTGAGTCGGGTCCAATTCAACGGCAGTGTGCTGCTTGTGCTTTATTATTTTTCCATTCTTAAATTTCTACTGTTTCACCCTTTCTCAATCTCTCAGATGCTGCAAAAAGGATGTGGGGCAACAGCATCTTCTGACCCCCTCTGACTTTAAAAGAATCACCAAAAACAGCCCAAGGTTTATTCTTATGAGGCCAGACCTGCCACCACCCTCCAGCCTTTTTACCAATTCTGACTTCAACCATCCCTCCCAGGACACTCACTACTTCTCTGCTGGGTTCGATAGTTTGTTGGGGTGGCCACACAAAACTCACAATATTCATGATTATATTAGGGAAGTAACAGGCTACAGCTCAAGTTTAGGAACAAGCTCAGGATGCAGTTCTTTGATCAGGATAGTCTCCCCTCTGCTATACCCTCAGGCATGCCTTTCTGGCCCTTGGCTCTTGGCCTCTGCCCTGCTTGGGCAAGTGTTACAAAGCTCTTTCAGCTCTGCAGATAGGTATGCCTAGGTGCACCCCACTCTGCCACCAATCCTCCTGCCCAAAGGCACTCAGCTTTCTTGCTCCATGGGCTGGCAAGGCTGTGCTGTATCCCCTGCCTCTTGGTTCCACTGCCACTATCTCTCAGCTGGCATCTCTGCTGGGTATCTCTGCCAAGGAGGTCCAGTGCAGGGATCTCAGGCCCAAGGATGCACTCTACTTCACCTCCAGCTCTTCTCTCTTGATGGCAGTGAGAGTCCCCTCTTCTGCTTCTAGAAGGGGTCATTTAAGCCTAGCAGAATGACAAAACTAACCAGTCTAAACATTAGAGTTCCCATACACCTTATTTGCATGCTCCTACCCAGTAATCTGGTGGCAGTCACAAAGACCATGGCTAGAAAAGCCATAACAAGTAATCCACTGCACCATAGATGCCATGTGTTAGCTTATAGTAAAATGGCACAGATTTTTTTTTAAACAGCTATATTGAGGTATCATTTATATACCATAAAATTCACCCATTTTGAGTGCACTATTTAATGATTTTGAGAAAGTTTACAGTTTTGTTAACTGTTAGCAATGTATGAAGGCTCTCCTTTTTCCACATCCTTGCCAATAATTGCTATTATCTTTTTTATTATAGCCATCTTAGTGAGTTTGACGTAGTATCACATCAAATTATGGTGTTAATTTGCATTTCCCTGATGACTGACGATATTGGCCAATTTTTCATGTACAATCCAGTTTTCAAACATTTCTCTCATTCCCAGTAGAGTCCTTGTGCCTGCTGAACAATTAATCCCTGTTCTCTTACCAGCCCTAGACAACCACTAATCTACTTTCTTTCCCCATAGATTTGTCTTTTCTGGACATTATGTATAAATGGAATCATATAATATGTGGTCTTTTGCATCTGTCTTCTTGATGTTCTTGAGATTCATCCATGTTGTATTATGTAACTATTTTCTTTCCATTTATCCATTTACCAATTAATGGATATTTAGAATTTTTCCACTTTTGGGCTATTACACATAATGCTGCTATGAATATTTGCATACACATCTTTGTGTAGATATGTTTTCATTTCTCTTGAGTAGATACCTAGGAGTGGGATTACTGGATTGTATGGTACATTTGTTTAACCTTTCAAGAAAAGCCAAAATTAAAGGGACAAGATTTGCTATTGGAACCCCTGAGACTATGGCCCCTAGCTGCCCTTCAGGTTTGGAATTGAACCCAGTCCTGTGGCTTTCAGCCAAACAAAAGACAGGTGTATGAGCTGAACATTTACATTAGGTAGATACCCTCCTTGGAGAGATCAACTGTGGTGAAAATAGAAGGGCTGTGCATGCACAGGGAGACAGCTTGGGGGCAGGAGTTCATGGGAAGGAAGGACACAGGAAAGAGGTAACTATGGGGAGGAAATGAAGGGGGAGCTGTTGTATTGAGGGAAATTGCAGTCAATGTCATGAAACAGTACAGTGTATGTGAGCTGCTGTATGGAAAGTGGATTTGCTCTGTAAACTTTCACCCAAATCACAATAAAAATTAAAAAAAAAAAAAAAGCCAAAATTCCTTTCCAAACTGGCCACACCATTTTATATTCCACCAGCAAGCTCTCCTTTCTCCACATCCTTGCCAGCAGTTGTTAAATCTTTTTGATTATAGCAGGTGTGAAGTGGTATCACATTGTGGATTTAAGTTGCATTTTTCTGATGACTAATGATGTTTACCAACTCTTCATGTACTTAGTAAAATGGCACAGAACTTTAAAATGTTTTCGTAATAGCAGTATACTCTCTGAGTTATGTATGTGACCATATTTATAAGTGAGATTAGGAAAAAGGGGGTGTATACCTGGGAATTTGTTATCAGTACATGTAAAATAAAGTTGATGTAGGTTAGTTTCCCACATGAATGGGTGGTAGACTGGGAGGTAGATTTTTAACAGTTTTAAACTGCTGCAAGTATGGATTTATGAAGCTGAAAGACCCTCAAAAATCATCTGATCCAATACCATCATTTTATTGATGTAGAGCCAAGGAAGTAAATTTGTCCAACTCTCTAGTAGCATAATTAAAACTATAATGTACAATTCTTGGCTCCCAACTGTCTGCTATTTTTACTTTCCTGTTTAGTTAGTTAGTTTAGAATGCTGATTATTTGCTTAGATTTTTAATATACTGTTTATGAAATTTGAAGCCATTCATGTAGATAACATCCATTTATAAGTGACATTCTCCTTTGAGCTTAGTGTTAAGAATTACTAGATGTGTGATTCTGATGGTAGAATGATACTATTGTCTCTATTCTGTTCAGATAGTTTGAAAAAATTTAATTGTTGAATTTTCCCGAAATTGTTTCATATGATCCTGTGTTTTTTTGTAGTGCTAAGATTGCATGGTTTGGAAATGTGAATTTTTTTTTTCATTTCTAGAAAGTGTGACTTGATTAGAGTTTGAAGGTAGTAGTCATTAAGTATTTACCTTAAGAACATTAAGAACATAAAGGCATTTCCTTTTCACAAATATTTTAAAAATTTCCATATTATCCAAATAGCCAGAAAAGTACAGAGGCTAATAATATGGCACAACACTTGCTAAACATTTTACCATATTCACTTTTGTTGTTGTTTTTGTTGTTATGTGCCGTCGAGTCGGCCCCGACCCTTTTATGTAACTGTCAAGGAGACTGGATGGTACAGTGGTTAAGTGCTTGGTTGCTAATCGGAAGATTGGTCACTCAAACCCATCAGCCACTCCATGGGAGAAAGATGTGGCAATATCCTTTTATTAAGATTTTTATCTTTGGAAACCCTCTGGGGCAGTTCTTCTCTGTCCTGTAGAGTCAGAATCGACTCAACTGCAACAGGTTTGATTTTTTTGGATTATGTACTTGACAGATCCCAGTTCTGTCTCCTCTTCTTTTCAGAGGTAGCCACTATACTGAAATTCATGTATATCATTCCCATTCATATTTTGAACATTACTGCATATGGATATAAACAGAGATGCACACACACTATAATCATATAGTACATTTTTGAGAATATTATTTGTATATCTATTTGCTTTTCATTTAGTGTTATGTTTTGAGATTTACCCTTTTTTAAAATTACTATTTTAGAGTGGAAGGAGTTACTTATTTGAGCCAAACTGTGGAGGGTTTTTGTTAATTAGCAAAGTGAGGGAGGGTTTATTAAATCCAGGCAGAGAAACCACAGGGGCATGAAATTATGTCATGATTCTATTTTAAAGACCTGCTCAGGCATCTCTCAGTGACCAACTCTGCATAGGTCATCAATGACCTGCTGTATTAGTTTTCTACTGCTGCGTAACCAATTATAACAAACTTAGTGGCTTGAAACAACACTCATTTAGTTCCTTTAAAAAATTAATAAACAAAGAATTAACACACTGCCCAGAAATTCCAGATGTTGTCTTAGTTCTCTAGTTTTGCAACAACAGAAATACAAGTGGATGGCTTTAACAAACAAATTATTCTTCTACAGTTTAGGAGGCTAGAAGTCTGTTTTCAGAGTACAGGCACTAGGGGCTGGGGTGAAGGCCCCTCAGCTTTGAGCTTCAGCTCCGCTTCTTGATCCAGGCCCACTGCAACTGGAGGCTTCTTCTAACTCATGCAGCTGCTGGATGCTGAGGTGGAAAAACCAAAGATCAGCAGGCACCATGGCAGGACACTGGTTGAAGTCCAGAAACAATCCCAGGATCAGCAGGCAACAGGGCCAAAATGTGCCAAAAAGCTAGAGACCTTTCTCAAAGCTTCTCTGTATACTCTGGAAGCAAGCCACACCCCAAAAGCAACTAATTAGCTGCGCACAGCTGTTTCTACCATGAGGTTGATTACACCACATCTAATCTCATCATGGGGAATAACTACATTCAGTTACTAAGCCGTTCAAAGCCACGGCCCAGCCAACTTGACACACAACTTTAACTACCACGGGTTTATATCCAGAAGACGGGAAAACAGGGGCTCAAACAGATACTTATGCACCAGTGTTGAGATTTATCCATTTTTGATACAATTCAGGTTTATTTGATTTTAACTATTGTAGTTTTCTCATATCAATATTTTAGTGTATTTATTCATTCTTCTATTGATTGGGTTGTTTCAGTTAAATTCATATGACTATTCAAACTTGAAGTTCTTAATATAAAATTTATATATATTTGCTTTTAAACTTGCAGTTAAAAAGAGAAATGTTTGGTTTTAAATCATCTCTTTCTAAGCACCAGATGAGTAGTTTGTCAAACACGGAAGACAGTTGCATTGGCTGCGGTGAGGCAAATAAAATGATGATCTCAGAATTGAGGTACAGTTTTCATATTTTGAAGCTATTATGAATAGAGTGTTTTTGCTACAATTAAAATCTTTAATGAGAAGTTTAAAAATATGCAGAAAAGTATGAAGAATATGGTAATGTGATTTTTATAACTAAGAATTGATTCTTATCATTTTATGATATTTGTTTCAAATCTGTTTGTTTAGATAAAAAGTAAACCATTACAGTTTGAATAAGTACATTTTGTTTTGTACCTTTAACTCCATTCTCCCACTATCATAAATTGTTCAATCCATTTTGCATATGTTTATACTCACACTTATGCATGTAAGTATACTATATATTTATATTGGGAGCTCTAGTGGCATAATGCCTAAGGTATTTGACTACTAACCAGAAGGCTGGTGGTTCAAACCCACCAGCCACTCCTCGGAAGGCAGACTGGGCAATCTGCTTCTGTAGAGATACCACCTCAGAAGCACAAGGAGGGTTCATTAATGAGTTGGAATCAACTCGATGGCAATGAGTGTGTTTTTTTTTTTTTTTTTTTTTGGATGTTGTTTACAGTTTTGCTTTTTCACTCAGCATCATGTTTTTAAATTCATCCATGTTCAGATAAGTAGCTAGAGTGGTTGATGATTGATAAATGGATGGATTTTTATGGTTAGTTTCATATTAATAGCTATATAGGATTCTATGCTATATATCATAGTTTATCCATTTCTTTATTGATACCTAAGGAGCTCTGGGGGCACAATGGTTAAGGCATTTTGCTGCTAACCAAACGGTTTGTGGTTCGAACCCACCAGCTGCTTCGTGGGAGAAAGATGAGGCAATTGCTTTTCTAAAGACATACAGCTGTGGAATCCCTATGGGGGCAGTTTTCTGTCCTGTGGGATTGCTGAGTTTGAATCAACTTGATAGCAATGCATTTGGTTTTGGTTTTTAGGAGCTCTGGTAGCATAGTGCCTAAGGCACTTGACTGCTAACCAGGAGGCTGGCAGTTCAAACCCACCAACCACTCCTCGGAAAGAAGGTTGGGCAGTCCTACTTCCATAGTGATAACTGCCTCGGAAACCCAAGGAGGGGTCGCTAGGAGTTGGGGCCGACTCGATGGCAAATAACAACACCACCACCACCTTGATTTTAGTTTTTTTCTATTATAAACATTGTTGCAAAGAACATTGATTCACGTCACCTTGTGCATATGTATAAAAGTTTCTCTAGTATATCGTCCTGAAAGTGCCGTTGAGTCGGACCCATCTCATAGCGACCCCCTCCTTGGGTTGCTGAGGCAGTATCACTACGGAAGTAGATTGCCCAACCTTCCTTCCAAGGAGTGACTGGTGGGTTTGAGCCGCCAGCCTTCTAGTTAGCAGTCAAGTCCCTTAGGCACTATGCTACCAGAGCTCCCATATATATATGTTTAATTTGAATACATATAATCAGGTTTCTAAAGTAGCTAAACTAATTTACAGTCCTACAAGTGGTGTGTAAGAATTTCCATATCTTCCCTAATACTTAACCAACATCCAAGTTTATTTTTGCCAACTTGAAAGGTGAGAAAATGATTTGGGATATTTTTATACAATCTTTCTAATAATTTTTTCCTTCTTTTCTTTTATGCCAGGATTAAACTTGCAATAAAAGAGGCAGAAATTCAAAAGCTTCAAGCAAATCTGACAGCCAATCAGTTATCTCAGAGTCTTATTTCTTATAATGACAACCAAGAAAGTGGCAAATTCAATAGTTTAGAAACAGAACCTGTAAAACTAGGCAATAATCAAGTAGGTGGGTATAGTATATTGAACTGATTTAAAAAATTAGCATCAGAGTTCTTTATGAATTTTTTTGAGAAACCAATTATCCCTCATAGTCTGTTTCTTAGTAAATTGCTAGTTATGGTCTGATAAGATAGCAAAAATTATTAGAAATTCTTGGAATTTGCATCATTTTTAAAAAATGTACTTCATTGAGATATCATTTGTATGCATTTTAAATGTATAGCTCAATGAGTTTTATTTGCAGCCTAGAAATAGAGATGTTAAAGTTAGGGGGAATTGATGAGAAATGGCTACTTATACAATGCTTGAAGACATAGTATGTTCTACTTGTTTCTACATCTGTGTGTGTTCTTATGCAATAACCTACATCTTGCCACTTTAAAGCACCTCTGTAAGCTCTATGACCTTTGGATGCAGGATGTGCATGTGTATAGTGAACAGAAGGCATGGTTAAACAAGTACTGCTGGTAACCCTCAGTATTCTTTAAAGCATCACTGAATTTTCATCAGCAAGTTTCCAGGGGAGGAAGATGAGACTAGCAAAGATTCACTGTGTATAGCTCTCAAACCTGCATCTACATGTAGTGCATCAAAATGATCTCTAAACAGATTTTTTTTAGTAAGTTTAAGGAGACAGCACCACACTTTTTTTTTTTTTCACATTTTAACAATTAAACAATTAAACAATTAACTATTAAAACATTGGGATTTTAAAAAGTGGCAAAGAATTCTTAAATTCCTGATATAAAGGACCATTTTTTAGCTGCTTAGAAAAGTGAGTGATGCAGAACTTATTCCCACTTTGTTATGTGTTTTTAATTTATTTGCCATGTTTAATTATCATTATTTACTGTCTCATTCTCTGTCCCCTTTAGTATTCTTTAGATCAGAAACTGATATGATTAATTCAGTCAACTATTGAAGTAGGTTTTTATTCTTGTCATTTTATTCTCTCTATTATGTATATTAGCAGAAAGTATAAAAGATCAGAGCAAGCAATATGAAAGAGAGAAGCAAAAACTTGCTGCTGGAATAGAAGAACTGCGTACTAAGCTGATGCAAATAGAAGCTGAGAATTCTGATTTGAAGGTTGACATGGCCCACAGAACTAGTCAGTTTCAGCTGATTCAAGAGGAGCTCCTAGAGAAAGCTTCAAATTCTAGCAAACTGGAAAGTGAAGTAAGCTTGGAATTAGCAGAATATATGTATTAAATTTTGAGACTGGGATAAATTGTTGAATGGAAAACTAATTTGCTCTGCAAACTTTTACCCAAACCACAATTTAAAAAAAAATATTATTATTTAAGAAAATAAAAATGAGTTAGAGTATAATTTTATGTGGAAATATAGATGTCTGAGTTAAATTACTTATGTATTACATAAACAGAAGAAGCTATGTCATATCTCTGATCACCTTCTCACTTTGTTTTTCTTATAAATTATTACTTATTTTTAAAAGTATTTGTAAGTATGTAGATCAAAAGGTATATTCACTTTATGTCCTAAATATTTGTTACCATAAATTTGCCCAGTTTATCTGTACACAATTTGAACTTTGAAAAGGGAACAAGTATTTGATTTTAGGGTAAAAAGTCTTACCTTTAAAAAAATTTTTTTTATTCAATTTATTTTCAGATGACAAAGAAATGTTCTCAACTTTTAACACTAGAGAAACAGCTGGAAGAAAAAATAGTTGCTTATTCCTCTATTGCTGCAAAAAATGCAGAACTAGAACAGGAACTTATGGTAAAAATTACCTTTTCCGCTGCAAATTTACTGTGCTTTTTAGTTGCTTACTTTGTGACATGTTTGTTTTAGTAACTTCATTAAAAGTATACCAAATATAAAAGTATACAGTCTACTTAATTCTTCTGATCATTCATTTTTTTTGAAATTTGTTTCTATATTTTTAAGTCAGTAAGCTTGTTGTTATTCAAATTTTCTCATTTTTATCCTAATAGAATTTAAGGAAATAGTAGTAGTTCCATGATGTGCTTCTCAGTATTATCATTTAAAAATATAATCCAATCTTCTATTTTTGATAAAATATTTTTAAATAACCACTTTATCTATTTTAAAAACCTATTTTTAGAAGTTTGAAGTATTAACTGCTATGGTTCTTTAAAGACTAAGTTATGACAAATTTAATGTTTGACTAGGGTATTTCTATGTAAAAATGCTTCTTAAATATATTCTTTAAAATGTTTTTATGTTTCTAGGAGAAGAATGAAAAAATAAGAAGTCTAGAAACCAATATCAATACAGAACATGAGAAAATTTGTTTAGCCTTTGAAAAAGCAAAGAAAATTCATCTTGAACAACATAAGGAAATGGAAAAGCAGATTGAAAGAGTAAGATATTAATTAGATGTTCTTACAAAGTATATATAATGCATACTTAGACTATTAATGCTGAAATCAACCTTAAAAATTGGTAGCCTAGCTTTCTTTGTTTTATAGATGAGGAAGCAAAGATACAGAAAACTTAGTAACAAGAGCTATAATCAGAATCCTATTCCTTCTGAATTATTTTCCAGTGCTTTTTTATATAGTACACCTGCCATTTCAGCTGTAATTGTTATTTTTTTATATTATCCAAATAAGATTAATTTTGTAGTCTCTATTTTACCAGAGATATCAACTTCTTGAAGATTAATTGGGGGGTGGGGGTGGGGAGAGTACATTGGGTTAAAAGTAAAGGGTAAAAACAAGTGAAAAAGAAGACGTGAGACCAAGTGTCAGGTTAGCTTAATAGGAGAATCGAGCTGAGAAGAGAAAATGCAGTGAACTTGAATATAGAGCAATAGAAATTAATCCAGTTTGAGCAATAGAGAGAAAAAAAAGATTGTGGGGAGAAAATGAACAGTCTCAGAGTCCTAGAAGGAGAGGATAATGAGCTTGCTGCAGTGTAACATTTGAAGGAATAATGACTTGGTAAATTTGGTGAAAGAAATAAAATTAGAAATTTAAGAACTTCAAAGCAGATAGACTCTATGCCACTTCTAGACCCATCACAATCTTGGCTGAAGACTAAAAATAAACAATCAAAGCAGCCAAGATAAAACACGTTGGGGAAAACAGATTAGAATTACCATAGATTTCTTATCAAAAACCATAGAGCTGAGAAAACGGAAGAGCAACATATTTTTAATACTGAAAGAGGAAAAGAGACAAAATGTAAACCTAAAATTCTCATACACTGCTAGCGAGAATGCAGTATGGTACAGCTACTCTGGAAAACAGTTTGACATTTTCTTATACAGTTAAATGTATACTTAACGTATGACTCAGAAATCACAGATATTTTACCCTAGACAAATGAAAACTTACTGTTACCCTAAAACCTATACACAAATGTTTATAGTCGTATTATTCGTAGTCACCAAACTTGGAAACAACCCCATGTCCTTAAATGAGTGAATGGGTAAACAAAACATGTTGTTGTTTTTATTGTTGTTTGCCATCGAGTCAACCTTGGGTTTCCGAGGCAGTATCACTGCTGAAGTAGGATTGCCCAACCTTCCTTCCAAGGAGTGGCTGGTGGGTTTGAACCGCCAGCCTTCTGGTTAGCAGTCAAGTGCCTTAGGCACTATGCTACCAGAGCTCCTAAACATATTGTCATACAATGAACTATATCAAAGGAGCAATCTATTAAGACAGACACAAGCATGGGTAAAGTCTCCAAGGCATTTTGCTAAGTGAACAAAGCTGATTTCAAAATGTTGCATATTGTGCAATTCCATTTCTATGGCATTTTCATAAAGGACAATAGCTATAGGAGATGGTGGGCAGGTCAGTGACTGCCAAGGGGTGGGGTTAGGTGGAGTTTTACTATAATGGATCAACCTGAGGGAATTATGGGACTAAAGGAACTGTTCTGTATTTTGATTGTGGTGAGGGTTTCATGAATGTGCACCTCTTAAAACTCAGACCTGTACATCAAAAGAGTGAATTTTACTGTATATAAATTGTTTTAACAAAGCCTATTCTGGTAGCATAGTGCCCAAGGCACTTGACTGCTCACCAGAAGGCTAGCGGTTCAAACCCACCAGCCACTCCTCGGAAGGAAGGTTGGGCAATCCTACTTCCATAGTGATACTGATACTGCCTTGGAAACCAAAGGAGGGGTCGCTATGAGTCGGGGCTGACTCGACGGCATACAACAACAACAACCACCACTTTAGAATTATTGTTAAAAATCATAGTTTATATATTTCCAGAGCAATTTCTCTGTATCTTTTCATACTTGTATGTATGTATATATATATATATATATATATATACACACACACACACACACACACACACTATACTATACTATACATATATACATACATAAAAGGTAAATAAAAATTTTAGTAGCTACATTTAGGAGTTACTTGCTTTTTAGAATTAGAATTTTCAGGAAACTTTAATTATGAAATTATTTTTTCCATATTTTAGATTATTACTTTATAAAAGTGGAATTACTGGTTCAGAAGATGGAAATATTTATCAAATGAAAAATTTATCCCTGATAAATTCTTCAAGGATTAATCTGAGAGTGCCAGAAATTCTGGAAAGATACTATATTTGATATATCAAATATTGAAGTGCTTCAGACAATTGGCAAAATAGGTCTGCCAGTGGACTTCCCTGGAGATTGATAAATCTGATTTCATGGAACTCTGTGGCTATAACATCATTTAATCTTGCTTACTCATGAAATTTCAAATATTTGAGTTTTGGAAACTTTTAAGTTATTTAACATTCCTTTAAATGTTTGTTTCTGTTGGAGTTAATCTCCGTACCTTTTTTTAAAAAAAGTTCTTCTTATTTATTGTTGTTGTTGTTGTTATGTGCCGTGGAGTCAGACCCGACTCATAGCGACCCCTCCTTGGGTTTCCCAGGCAGTATCACTATGGAAGTAGATTGCCCAACCTTCCTTCCGAGGAGTGGCTGGTGGGTTCTTGTTTATTAGAACCTAGTATTTGTTTTTCCTAGTGCCTGAGGCATTTGACTGCTAACCAGAAGGCTGACAGTTCAAACCCACCAGCCACTCCTTGAAAGAAAGATTAGGCAATCTACTTCCGTAGAGATACCACCTCAAAACCCAAGGAGGGGTCTCTATGAGTCGAATCAACTTGATGGCAGTGAGTTTGGTTTTTGGTAATGACTAGTAGAAACATTAACTTCCAAATTCTACTTTTTCTTGAATATTTTAATTTTCTTAAAAGACCTCTAATTTATAAAGTGTTATTTGATTGTTTCCATTTAATATATATTTCCTTTCCAGAGTTCCTGGTTTTAGTATTTTCTAGTTAACTCTGTTGCTGCTATATTCTTATTTTGTAATTGTTAAAATGATGTGGTGTTATCAGACTTCATATAACTTCAGAGGAAGGAGAAGGAATCAAGATTATCAGCCCAAGGCTCATCAAACATATTGCCACCCTCCAACTTTTTACCAATTCTGCCTCGGAAATCCAAGTCAGGTCCAACTCAGTGGCATATAACAGCAACAACAGCAACACGAGCCATTCCTCCCATGGCACTCTGTACTTCAGTCAAATATTCAATATCCAGTAGTTGTTGTTGTTGTAATATGCCATTGAGTTGATTTTGACTCATAGTGACCCCTCCTTGGGTTTCTGAGGCAGTATCACTATGGAAGTAGATTGCCCCATTTTCCTTCCGATGAGTGACCAGTAGGTTTGAACCGCCAGGCTTCTTATTAGCAGTCAAATGCCTTATGCACTACGCCACCAGAGCTCCCACAGTATGGATTATACCTCAATATAAAAAAACAAAAATCCTCACAACTGGTACAATAAACAGCTTCACAATGGGTGGAGAAAAGATTGAAGTTGTCAAAGACTTCATATTACTTGGTTCTACAATGAACACCAGTGGAAGCAGCAGTCAAGACATCACATGATGTATTGGATTGGGCCAATCTGGTACAAAAGATCTCTTTCAAGTGGTGAAGAACAAGGATGTCTCCTTGAAGACTAAGAGGTGCCTAACCCAAGCCATGGTAGTTTCAGTCACTTCTTATGCATGTGAGAGGTGGACAATGAATAAGGAAGACCAAAGAAGAGTTAATGCTTTTGAGAGGTGGTGTTGGAGAAGAATGCTGAGAGTACCATGGTGTGCTACAAGGACTAACAAATATGTCCTGGAGGAAGTACAGCCGGAATGCTCCTTGGAAGCAAGAATGGCCAGACTTCGTCTCACCTACTTTGGTCATGTCAGAAGGAACTATTCCCTGGATATCATGCTTGGTAAAGGATATCATGCTTGGTAAAGTGGAGGAGCCGTGAAAAAGGGAAAGACCCTCAACGAGATGGATTGTCACATGGCTACAACAATGGGCTCAGGTGTAGCAAGGATAGTGAGGCTGGCACAAGACTGGGTGGTGTTTTGTCCTGCTGTTCATAGGGTTGCTGTGAGTTGGAGATGACTCGACAGCACCTAACAACAACAAAAAAGAGTAAGCTATAATTTATTCTTACAAGGAATACTTTGTTGCCAGTAAAATAAATGTAATGGACCTACATATATCAACATACATGAATCTCTAAAAACAGTATTGAGTGCAAAAAGCAAGGTGCCAATAGTCACAGAATGGCTATAATTCTTGTAAATATTTTGAACATACTGTTTATGCATATAGGTGGATATAGGTGCTGTCAAATCATTTCCAACTCATAGCGACCCTATGCACAGCAGAATGAAACACTGCCCGGTCCTGCACCAGCTCCACGATCCTTGCTATACTTGAGCCCATCGCCACAGTCACTGTGTCAATCCATCTCATTGAGGGCCTTCCCCTCTTCTGTCAACCATCCACCTTACCAAGCATGACATCCTTCTCCAGGGAATGTTCCCTTCTGATAACATGACCAAAGTAGGTGAGACTAAGTCTGGCCATTCTTGCTTCCAAGGAGCATTCTGGCTACACTTCTTCCAGGACAAATTTGTTAGATCTTTTAGCAGTCCATAGTATTCTCAGCATTCTTTGCCATCACCAAACACAACATCATCAACTCTTCTTTGGTCTTCCTTATTCATTGTCCAGCTTTCATATGCATATGAGGTGACTGAAAATACCATGGCTTGTGTCAGGCACACTTTAGCCCTCAAGGAGATATCTTTGCTCTTCAGCACTTGAAAGAGATCCTTTGCAGCCAATTTGCCTAGTGCTATATGTCGTCTGATGTCCTGACTGCTGCTTACATTGGCATCGATTGTAGGACCAAGCAATCTGAAGTCTTTGACAACTTCAATCTTTTCTCCATTTCTCGTGATGCTGCTTATATAATAAACCCACAATAAACATTTATGAAAACCTCAAATTGAGTATAAATTGAGTATAATGGCTGTTATCTCTGGATATATACTATGAGGAATGGGATTAGAGAATTTCTACTGTGTCTGTAATTACTGATTTCTTAAAATAATATTTTTTTAAAATCTGAACCAAGTATGTCACTTGAGTGGTCAATAAAATAGTATTTGTTGTTTTTTTTTTTTAAAAACTTGTATGAGAATGAAACACAGTAAAGAATGATACATAATCAATTTTCCCACGGTAGTTAAGTAAGAGAGAAAATGAAGAAATGGCCATATGATTTCATTTCTTTTCTAAAGAGAGTAAAACTGAAGAAAATTTGGCAAAATGTAAAAATTTATGTAAGTTTAGTGGTAGGTTCACATGTGAGTATTATATTGTCTGTGTATTTAAGATGTTTTGAAAATTTAAAAAGATAATTTGAAAATCAGTAAATCTTGTTTTTATGTTTAGCTTGAAGTTCAACTTGAGAAAAAAGACCAACAATTTAAAGAACAGGAAAAGACTATGTCCATGTTGCAACAAGATATCATATGTAAACATCATCATCTTGAATCACTTGATAGACTCTTGACAGAAAGCAAAGGGGTAAAATCATCTTTATAAAAGTACTATTTAAAAGCTGAGTAATTTTTAGTTGCTTAGCAGTCCTGTTATTAATGCCAAAATGTTTATATGTGCACTTAAATATTTTGTTACCAATCTGTATGCTTTCAGGAAATGGAAAAGGAAAATATGAAGAAAGATGAAGCTTTGAAAGCATTACAGAACCAAGTATCTGAGGAAACAATCAAGGCTTGTAATACTTTAAAAATATTTTTCTTATTGAAGACTGTCCCATGTTTTTTTTTTCTCTTTCTTTTTCTATTAATTATAAAAAGTTATTCACATAAAAATCATCTAAGAGGTAAATATTTGACCTGAGTCAATAAAGAGAGTTGATATAAGTCTGTTTTCTTCAGTATATAAATTATGATCCTTATCAGTAGTTGATCTCTAGTTTGTATTTATCCTCTTTCCTTTTTTTTTTTTTCTTGCTGTTTAAAGATGTTTTTAAACTTTAGCTATAATTACTGCTTCTCAGTGTTACCACTAAAGAATTAACTGAAGTGAAGGGAGATGTGCTAAAATAGTCCAGTTTTACTTCTTTTCATTAATTCTGATGTAAGATTAATTGGAGAATAAATCCAGAATTTCTGACTAATATATGGTTTTGTCACTAGCATGTTTCCACAGTTAAAAACATGGGCTCTGTGGCTTTAGTTGAATCTGGTTTCAGAGTGCCTAATGACTTCACTTTAACGTTTGGTTATTGAGAAAACAACACCCCAGGGATGGGTTAGTGAGAACTAAATGAAATGACATGATAAAGTGCTTTGCACATACTAAGGTAATCAGTTAAATGCAGGAACTAACTACCAACATTATTAGTATTGCCATTATTTTAACTATCAATTTCAACTCTTTGTTGCTGGGTGCAGCAGTTGATTCTGACTCTTAGTGACCCGAGTGATGCAGTAGAACTGCCCCATAGGGTTTTCTTGGCTGGAATCTTTATGGAAATAGATCACCCGGTCTTTCCCCTGAGCTGCTGGGTGAGTTCAAACCACCAGCCTTTGTTGTTTAACCATTGTGGCACCATGGCTGCTTGTATTTCATCTACTACTTTTACTTACTCATGTCCCTATTATCAAAATTTATTAAATAATTACTGTGTATCTAATATTTTCTCCTTTACATTTTCAGTGTTTAAAATGGATTAAACATGCTGCTACATTTATTCTGTTACATATGGCTTGAATATAAAGGCTTTTTTAAAAATCTGATGTTATTTACTTTCTGCCTGTTGTTGTTATATATAATTTTAATTCATTTTGTGACCATATATACCCATGTATGTTTATACGTAATTTTTCCTATAAAACCAAAACCAAACTTACTGCTGTCAAGTCAGTTCCAACTCATAGCACCCGCCATTGGATTTCCAAGGCTGTAAATCTTTAGTGAAGTAGATTGCCTCATCTTCCTCCTGCAGTGTGCTGGTAGGTTTGAACCTCTGCCCTTTTGGTTAGTAGCCAAATGCATTACCCACTGTGCCACCAGAGCTCTTTAATTTTTCCTATATTATATTCCAAAACTCTTAACTTTAATACCATGTCAATTCATTTCATCATACAAAACTAACCTCTAAGATCATTAACATTAAAAAAAGCATTACTAGAAAAAAAATCATTTCAAAGGTTTTAGATATAAAATAATTCCATTTATTTTTTTTCAATGTTTTTAGATTTGTTAAGTCTTGCTTTGTGACCTAACATGGTCTATCCTGGAAAATGTTCATATGCACTGGAAAAGAAAGTATATTGTGCTGTTGTGGTTAGGTGAAGTGCTCTGTAGATAAAAGGTCAAGTTGGTGGATTGTATTGTCTGGTTCTTCTGCATCTTTGTTGAGTTTCTTTCCAGTTATGTCCTTCATTGAAAGTGATATATTAAAGTCTTCTACTATGACTGTGGAGTCATCTGTTTGTCTTTCAATTCTGTTAAAGTCTGTATTCTGGGCCTCTTTCACTGGGTGCATAGATATTTATTATTGTTATGTCCTCTTGTTCAATTGTTCCTTAAATCATTTTATAATGTCCTTCCCTGTTTGTTATGGTGGTTTTTATCTTAAAATCAGTTTTATCAGAAATTATATTACCACTTCTGCTTTTTTATGGTTGCCATTTTCTTGATATATCTTTTTCCAGCCTTTGATTTTTAGTCTGTTTTTGTCATTGTCTCTAAAGTGTGTCTTGTAGACAGCATATTAATGGTTTGTGTTTTCTTAATCCAGTCTGAAACTCTCCATCTCTTGAGTGGTGCATTTAATCCATTGATATGCAGTGTAATTATTGACAAGTATGAATTTGTTGCTGTCATTTTGTTACGTGTTTTTCATGGTGTTGCTGATTTCTTTGTTCTGTATAATTGTCTATGCTGAAATTGTTTTATTTATGAGTTGTGTTACCACTTCCTTCATTGCTATTGTTTTAGTCTTTGTTCAATATTTATGTTTGTCCTCTTTTTTATTTTGGTGTAAGGGTTTATCATTTTTCTTTGAGGTTACCCTTGATGTGTAATTTTCTTCCCAAGTTTAGAACAGTCTGTTCTATCTTGCAATTGTCTGGACTTCCTCAGCATTTAGACGTTCTGTAACTATAAAGTTTTTTCCCTCTTTTTCATTTATAGTTGTACTCGTTTGTCAATTGATGTCTCTGGTTCCCTGTTTACAATCTTGTATAACTGGATTGGTTTCTGGGTTATGTCATCATTTGTGTTAATGGTTAGTTGTTGTTGGCTGTAGTTGGTTCTCTGTCCAAAGAACTCCCTTGAGCATCTCTTGTAAGGTTGATCTGGTTTTAACAAAGTCCCTTAATTTCTGTTTATTTGGAAATGTCCTAAATTCACCATCATATTTGAGGGACAATTTTGCTAGGTATGTAATTCTTGGTTGGAAGTTTTTTTTTTGTTTTTTTTTCTCCAAGGTTTTGTATATACCATCCCATTGGCTTCTTGCCTGCATAGTTTCTGCCAAAAAATCAGAACTTGGTCTTATTGGTTGCCCTTTGTAGGTAACTTTTCCTTTTTCCTGTGCTGCTTTCAGGATTGTTTCTTTGTTTTTGGTTTTGATGAGTTTGATGATGATCTGTCTTAGTGATTTTCTTTTGGGGTCTTTCCTGTTTGGTGTTTGTTTGACTTCTTGAATGGATATATTCTCGTCTTTTGTCATACCAGGGAAATTCTCTTCCAACAAATCTTGGACAATTTTCTCTGTGATTTTATTTGTCTCTTCCTGTTCTGGAATTACAGATACACGTAGGTTATTCCTCTAGTTGGTATCCCACGTGAACCATAGACTTTCTTCATTTTTATTGATCTTTTTTTCTGATTGATCCCTTTCCAAAGAAGTGAGGTATTTGTCTTCAATCTCACTAATTCTGTCTTCGTTGATTCAATTCTACTCCTTTGCCTGTTCAATGTGTTATCTATTTCTGAAAATTTAGTATTAATGTTCTGGATTTCTATGTGCACATTTTGTATCATTTCTAATTTTTCATTTATTTTGTCATTTTGTTCTTTTATTGTCTTCTGAAATTGTTCTAGGATTTTCTTTGTGTTTTCCTCAATTTTGCCATTGTTTTCTTAGATCTGTCTCTCAGTCTGTTAAAGGTACCTAAGTATAATTCTTTTGAATTCCTTATCATGGAGTTGCAATGCTGCTTCTTCCCCCAGGATGGTTCTGGGTCTGTATCTTGGTCCCTTGTTTCTACTGCTTTATCTTGATTCTTTGTGTGGACTATGATGGTTTGTTGTCCTTGAGACATGGTGACATTTTTTGTTTGTATTTAATTGGTGATTATATGTTAGAGTGATTTACCCAAGATTTTCATTTTCTTTGGATGTATCTGATGAGTAAGCAGGGTACTTTGCTTCTTTGTTTACTAGTTGGGAACACTTATGCACTCACCACCTGTCTCCTTTCCAGTCATCAGTCTCCCATATGTCCATGCTGTCCTTGGCAACCAGAACCTATTCTTAGGTCCCTGGAATCTGAATGAGAATGCTGTCACTTTCAGTATTTAAAAATGGCCACCGCTTGTAAACATTCAAAATGGCTGTGCCCTCTGAACAGCCAAAAATCCACAGCTCAGTTTATCTCCTTCTCTGCTGTTTCCCTTTTTAGTCATCAGCCACCAGTGCAGTTGTCCATGCAGCCCTTGGTGAGCAGGGCCAAGTTTTAGTTTGATTCTCACATCCTAACACCATTTAGAAATATTCAAACTGTCTGTGCCATCAGGATAGCTGACAGTTCACAGCTCCATTTGTCTCATTAGTCACTGTTTTCATTCAGGTTCTTCTACTAGTTGGTATTTAACCCACTTCTGTATTGTTCCTTTCAAAGCTCAGGGCTCCAGGATTATCTTCTGTATCTGTGTCAGTTGGTTTCTCTTTTTTTTGTTAAAGAGGGTCTGTGTAGCTTGTCTACCTATTCTGCCATCTTACCAGAAGTCCTTATTAATTTTTAAAACTCATAGTGCCACTTCTTTTTTTTTCTAGTCATCTGGAAAGTTATTTCCATATGTTAATAGTCAGATATGAGGCAGTGAGGAAATCAGTGAAAGAATGAAAGTGTATATATATACATATACATACATGTATATTTAAGGAACTCTGGTGGTACAGTGCCTAAGGCATTTGACTGCTTCCAGAAAGTTGGCAATTCAAGTGTACCAGTTGCTCTGCAAAAGGAAGATGAGGCAATCTACTTCTGTAAAGATGTACCACCTTGAAAACCCAATGGGGATCACTTTGAGTCAGAAATGACTCAGTGGCATTGGGTTTGGTTTTATACATATATTTATATATATTTCCATATATGTATATTTGTACCTTTAATATATTTGTTATTATTGAGAAAAAAATCAAAATGAGAAATAAATGTAGAAGTGAAGTTTCTATGACTCAAGCTGTACTAAATGACTATAATATATAGGATGTGGCACAACACAATAGGAAACCTGAAGTACGGTTCTCTGTCCCTATGTTATTGCTACCCTTCTTACATGACTTGTTCTTCTTTTCAACTTTTTGTTGTGGTTTGGATGAGTGCTTACAGAGCAAATTGGTTTTCCATTCAACAGTTCATACATGTTTTGTGACATTGATTGCAATCCCCACAATGTGACAGCAATCTTCCCACTTCCTCCTTGTGGTTAGCATTTCCCTCCATCTTTCTTTCCTATCTATTCTCAGCTTCTGAGCTTTACCCTTGGAAAAATGCTGCCCTTTTGATCTCCTGTTGTTGATTGCTCTAAGGAGTGCATACTTCCTTGGTGTTTTCACCTTATAGTCTTGTCAGTCATTTGTGTGAAAGTTGAGCCATAATGGTGAGTTCTATTCCAGGCTTGAAAGGGGTTTAAAGGGCTCCATCAGTCTCTATTGGACCAGTAAGACTGGTCTCTTTTATGATTTTTATTATTATTTTTATTTTGTTCTACATTTTTCTCCTTGTGTGACTTTGACCGTGTCCCTCTGCATGCCTCATTTCTTTTCTGTAACAGAACTAAAAATTTTCTATCTGCAGGAGAATTATAAGGATCAGCTTAAAGTTGAATCATTTTTAAAAGTATGACTAATGAAAACTGGGAGCTCTGGTAGCATAGTGGCTAAGACACTTGCCTGCTAACCAGACGGCTGGCGGTTCAAACCCACCAGCCACTCCTCGGAAGGAAGGTTGGGCAATCCTACTTCCGTAGTGATACTGCCTCAGAAACCCAAGGAGGGGTCACTATGAGTTGGGTTTGACTCGACGGCACATAATAAATAAAATGAAAGCTAGGAGTTCCTGGGGGTGCAAATGGTTAAAATGTTCAGCTGGTAAAGGTTGGAGATTTGAGTCCACCCAGAGGCACCTTGAAAGGCCAAAAAAGGCTTATTGATCCCACTTCTGAAAACTCAGCATTGAAAAACCTATGAGGCACAGTTCTACTCTGACACCATGAGATGTACCATGAGTTGGAGTCAGCTAAAACCAGTTGGCAACTGGTTTTAAAGAGAACTAAAAGGTTAATGGGAAAATTCTGTACAGTTAACAAAAAAACAATAAATGAAACAAATATGTTACCTGTTGTTAAATAGAAAATTGAGAAGGTGCTTATCAGAGTTGGAGATTTCATTTATTTAATTTTGTTTTGCTTCCACTCTGCATTCCTTCTTTTTTCATCCCACAAAGAAAGTCTTAAGTAGAAAGTAAACAAAGGAAGGAGAATTTAGCTGTTCTTATTAAATATAGGTAACCTAGAGCCTTGGGCAATCCTACTTCCGTAGTGATACTGCCTCGGAAACCCAAGGAGGGGTTGCTATGAGTCGGGGCCGACTCGACGGCACATAACAACAACAACAACGACAGAGCCTTACTTGATTACCCCAGTCTTTGCCTGAAGAAGTCTTTAGTTCACAGAGTGATAGTGTTTTTTGTTTTGATTTTCTGCATTCATATGCATGTACATATACATATATACATATTTGTAAATGGCTTGTGTACAGTGAATGTGCTTATTTGTATGAGACTCAGACTCTCAAGTGCTTTGTTCAGATAAGAAATCCAACACAGTAGTGGGTATTTGAGAAATTATTTATTAATTTTAATTGATTAATCAATTTTAATTAATTTTTACTTTGAAAAATTCCAAATGCATGGAAGAATTGGAAGAATGGCAGCAGGAATGCCTGCGTACCCTTCACCTAGATTTACTGTTAACTTCTAGGTATGCTTACTTCATCTCTTTCTGCATGTGTGCATGCTTATGGGCGTGCATATGTGTGCATACACAAACACACTACACACATCCTTTCCTTTTGCCAGACCGCTTTAGGAAAGATTCCAGACGTCATAACACTTTACACCTTTAATATTTAAACGTACACCTTTAATATTTAAACATGGATCTCCTATGAACAGGACCACACCATCATTACCACAGTAGAGGAATTTTGTAACATCATTCAGTACAAAGTCTATAGTGAAATTTTCCCAATTATTTAAAAATACACTTCATAGCCTTGTTTACTCAGAGCATGGTCTGTGGACTAACAGCATCAGCAGTCACCTGGGAGCTTGTTAGAACTGCATAATATCAGGCCATCCCCCAGGCCTTCTGAATGGAGCTGGGACTAATGAGAGACAAGTGAGATACCTCTTATGCAAAATTTAAGGAAACATTCTCAGGGTCATAACAGGTGAAGGGCTGGTGCTTACATGATTCTTAAGATTAGGTACCTTCTTAAATTTTGAGCCCTGGGTGCTTCATTACCTCTCCCTAGCCCTACCTCTGCTGTTGAATCAAAATCTGTATTTCAGTGGGATGTCAAGGTGATTTGTATGTACACTAAAGCTTGAGAAATGCTATTTTAGTTTGAGGCTTGTTCTTTTTTTCTTTCCTCAGTCTAGGATTCAGTTATAATTCATACGTTGCATTTGACCCTTAGACTCCCCATCACTGCCGTCAAGTCGATTCGACTCATAGCGAGCCCTCCTTGGGTTTCTGAGGTGGTATCTCTATGGAAGTACCTTGCCCAATCTTCCTTCCAAGGTGTGACTAGTGGGTTTGAGCTGCCCGCCTTCTGGTTAGCAGTCAAATGCCTTAGGCCCTATGCTACCAGAGCTCCTTGTCTAGACCAAGCTCATTGACTTCTCATATTCTTAATGGCGTTGAATCTTTTGAAAAGTCCAGGTTAACAGTAACACTGAGAGGGTTATAATGTGTTTCTCCCACTCCTTCACATCAGGAGGTACATGTAGAACACCCCATTATTAGCAGTACCAATCTTGATACCTTATTTAAGGTGCTAATTGTCAGGTCACATCATTTTAAGGGTACATTTTTTTTTTCCTTTGTAATTAAATAAATTGCAGGGTGATTGAGGTTGTATGAATATCCTGTTCTCCAGCAACCATACAACCAATAGAATCTTGCCTGAATCAGTTATTACATTGGTAATTCTCAGGTAGTGATATTCTGACAGAGTCACAGGTTTTTTTTTTCACCCTCTGCATAGAAAATGTAACAAGTACCAATGCTCATTCTCTTGCTTAAGAAAGGAAACTTAAGAATTTACTCTGTAAATCTTCACCCAAATCAAAATAAAATTTAAAAAAAAAAAGAAAGGAAACTTAAACAAGTATTTATACTTTTCATAAAACAAGTGTTAAAAATTATTACCAAGTCGAACAAATTCTTAAGAAAGTCAGTCATTCAGAATCAGATTTTTTAGTGATTAATGATTATATTATAGGCTTTAGGGACAGTCTTCTAAATCTGTGTGTCTTACAAGGTTCCTTTTTTAGAAATAAGGATAATTTTATTATGCAGAATAGCATTTGCAAGAGGAAACACTTTTTTTATTTTGTTGACATTTCTTTCATAGTCTCAAAACTACTTACTGTAACGCAAAAGCATTAAGAGGAAAACAAAATCCACTTCTGAGAAGCTTAAAATTATAATAAGGGGAAAAAAAGGAGCAAGGCAAGAGTCTTATTCACAGTTGGGATATGGAGCATATATGCCAATTGTGGCCTTGGAACTAACTTTTTTGGGAAAAAAGTACTGAATTGGGGTTGCTTTTTGTTCATGTGCTTTAATAATAAGGTAGTAGAAAGCATTTGTAGCTTTCTACTATGGAAAACTTTAGTGTACATACTCAGTATGGAAAACTTGAGTCAAGTGCTACCTTTCGAAAAAGTGTATTCACTAATTCAAAGCAAAAGCAGCCTTTTTCTGGCTGACCAAAATATTTAAATTTTCTTGGTGATTTCAGCATATTCAGAATATTTATACCTTCGTATCATTAACACAGTATATCAGTTTGTACTTTACTATGTTTCTTGTTCAAGAGGGTGTAAGGAGTAGACTTAAATACTATATACTATTTTAAGAAAGTGTTTTAGGGTGTTTGGCCTATAGGTTTTCTTAACAACTGGTCCCAGTCTATCTTATCAGCTTTATTCCCCGATGCTCATCTCCAATGAATTCATACTCTTGATACCGTAAGCTACTGTCAGCTTCTCACCATTCCCTTTAATAGTGCCTTGCCTATGAACATTCTCTTTTTCCTGGAATGTCCTTCTTCACTTGCTCAACTCTGTTTATTCTTTAGGATTCTGCTCTCTGGTTTCCTAATTTGCAATGAAGAATTAGTTTTCTCAATAAATATCTTCTATAATAGCATTTTATATACTAAGTAGGACTGTGTTCTCACTGTTTGAAGCAGTGAGATAACAGTAAGAGAAATCTGTATAATATTAAGCACTTAATAATCAGGCATTAATATTAGTTGCTTTTCCTTTTTAAATGGTTTGCCTCCTTAGGTCAGACAACTTGATTCAGCATTGGAAATTTGTAAGGAAGAACTTGCCTTGCATTTGAATCAGTTGGAAGGAAATAAAGAAAAGTTTGAAAAACAGCTAAAGAAGAAATCAGAGGAGGTAAATGAACATTTCCTTTATAAATAGTTTATTTTCCAAGTGATTTCTTTTTTAGATATTATTTTCAGAATACTTAAAAAAGTATATCTTTATGTATCTGATATATAAAAATCTTTCCAGTAAAATGTGAATTCCAATTTTTAATTCTTTCTGAAACAAACATTGTTTCAATGCAACATAAAATATGACACTTTGAAATTATGATTCTTTATATTTAAGGAATTGGAAAAATAAATAGTATCACAGAATAATTCCAATATTAAATGAATAGCACTTAGAACTTTGTTTTAGATTTAGAGGTTTAAAATCCTTTTTTTAAGTTTCCATTTTGTATTTGTTTCTTCTAGTTGTCTGAAGGATTGAGAATTAGGTTTAAGGATTCAACTTTCTTTTCTGAGTTGAGTTTCTCAGTTCCTAGGTTGAAGATTTTTCTTAAGTTATTTTATTCATCTCTGTATCCTCAATTTCTAGTATTTTGCTTTCAGTATTATAGGCTCTCCCTAAATGTTTGTTTGAAGGAATAATCTTAAGAATTTCTTTTTTTTCTTTGTTAGAATTTATTATGTATGCATTTAAACCTTAAAGTCATTTTTAGAAATAATCCTCAGCAGTTCTTGATTTATGTTGACTTGAATGTATAGAATGATCCAGCCAGAAAAACAGAAGCCCTTCTATATCTTTCAAATGGAGGGGATTTTATACAGAGAATTAGATACACACATGATGGAACAATGAGAAAAAGCCAAACAGAGGATACTAAAGTGACTCAGACCCATTACCGTCTTTAGTGTTAGAGAAACATCAGGAAGGGGTGTTGTGACTAGTACAGAAGCAGAGCTGCCCAGCTGGAACCAGTGTTACAGTGAAAGAGTCTGAAGGAACCTGGGCTCTAGAGGAGAACTGCTGGTACTTGTCCTTCCATTGGCCAAACCTACCTGGAATCTAGAGGGCAAAGAAACCTAGGAAATGTAGTGTCCTGCAATAAACAGAGCAGAGCAGAGAAAGACAGGGATTAATCTGAGAGCTGTAATTTTTGACAACCCAAATCTAAGCATGTAGCTGACCAGCACTTTGTAGACTTAAGTACATCACGTAATTGCATCACCTTAGAGTTGGCAGAGATGGAATTTCGAGTCAGGCAGAGTTTATAATGGGAAAGTTTGTTGGGCTTTGGACTCTGAGTTCTTAGAAACAATGTCAGAGACTAAGTTGAATAATAAGCATTTACACACAAAACATAGAACTATTTCTAAGACAGCTATAAATATAAATCTAAACTCAACTTGAATTAAATTGCAAGTACTAGGTAGTCAAGGAACCCTGGTGGCATAATGGATAAGGCATTTGGCTGTGAACCAGAAGGTCAGCGGTTCAGAATCACCAGCTGTTCTGCAGAAGGAAGATGGGGCAGGCAGTCTGCTTCCGTAAAAATTTCCAGCCTAGGAACTCTGGTAGCATAGTGCTTAAGGCACTTGATTGCTAACCAGAAGGCTGGTGGTTCAAACCCACTAGCCACTCCTCGGAAGGAAGGTTGGACAATCTACTTCTGTAATGATATCACCTCGGAAACCCAGGGAGGGGTCACTATGAGTTGGGTCCAACTTGACGGAACATAAAAACAACAGCAATAACATTAGTTTAAATTGACTCGATGGCAGTGAGGGTTTTTTTTTTTTTAATGGTGATAAGTAGTCAGGTGTGGATGACCAGACTAGGGAATAAATTACCAAGTAAATCATAAATCTGCAAGCCTTTTATTGCTGCTGAATTGTCAGTTCAACTACACATTTATTGGCTTATTTAGCCTATAGAAGTCATCCCCCAAAAAACCCAAACTCACTGCCATTGAGTCGGATCCAACTCATAGCGACCCCTCCTTGGTTTCCAAGGCAGTATCACTACGGAAGTAGATTTCCCAACCTTCCTTCCAAGGAGTGGCTGGTGAGTTTGAACCGCGAGCCTTCTGGTTCGCAGTCAAATGCCTTAGGCACTATGCCACCAGAACGCCTTATAATAATAGAAGGCATCAGGGGTCATCTTTTACTTGTTCATGTGTATTGGTAGGAAACATGGTGAATAACCCAAGTATTATTATTTTTTTTACTTATTTTTCTTTAGAACAAATTGCAGTGCTTTACAGAGAAAACTCTTCCTAGTGTTAGCTAATATAATTAATACTTTATAATAGAGTTGTGTGATTTTCATAATATGTCTACCTATCTATCTCTCTAGTTAAGTTTTAGAAAAATTGATTTATTTCAAAGTCTATCCATTATGTAAATAATAAGGGATGATATAAAGATGTTCTAATCTTTAGATCGGTGGATATTCCTATATCACACACAAGCTGAATAATTTAGGTAAGTGATTCCAGAACTTATATTGGCAGAAAGTTAGCCAGTTGTAAAAACCCATGTTGGTTACCCACTGCAAAGAGCTTTTGCCTCAGCCAGGTGATTTATGTAGTCATTGGATCTCCTGTAATCTACCCTCTATCAAAAAAAAAAAAAAAAAAAAATCACTGCTGTTGAGTTGGGTCCGACTCATACCAACCCCTCCTTGGTTTCCGAGGTGCTATCTCTATGGAAGAGCATTGCCCAGTCTTCCTTCTGAGGAGTGGCTGGTAGGTTTGAACCTCCAGCCTTCTGGTTAGCAGTCAGATGCCTTAAGAACTACGCCATCAGAGCTCCCAATAGCTACCCTCTATAGACGAGTTAATGTAATTCTCTAAGGATAAATGCCATAATTCCTCTTTTTTATTATCAGTAATTTAATATTCTTTTGTGGTAATAGTATTACTACTACATATATTAATAGTAATACTACAATTAGGTCTTCCTCCCTCTTTTCCAGGTGGCAAAATATATTTAACGATTAATATAAGTCTGACTTTGGGATTCTAAATTTTTTAAAAATATTTTTATTCCATATTGAAATGCTTTGAAAAATGTTTTCAGAAGTAATAAAATTATATGTTCCTGCAAAATTACATTATCAACATAATAAACACAATGTGAAAAAGTATAAACATTTCTGTGTATGAATATATTCAGGAAAATCAGTCATTTTGTTGATAAATATCTTTATTCAAATTGATAGAATTGAATTTTGAGAAGTTGGCATCATAGCAATAATTTTTCTGTGGTACATTTTATTTATAAGGAACAGTTATGGGAGTGCTTTTGCTTTGGATACACATTGATACTTGTTGTTGTTGTTAGATGCCATTGAGTCAGCTCCCCACTTATAGCAACCCTGTGTACAACAGAATGAAATGTTGCCCAGTCATGCGCCATCTTCACAGTCCTTCCTGTACCTGAGCCCATTGTTGCAGCCACTGTGTCATTCCATCCTGTTTAGGGTCTTTCCCTTTTTCGCTGACCCTCTCCTTTACTAAGCATGACATTCTTCAGGGAGTAGTCCTTTCTGACAACATGACCAAAATAGGTGAGACTTTAGGTCTGGCCATTCTCACTTCCAGGGAACATATGGCTGCACTTCTTCCAGCACAGATTTGTTTGTTCTTCTGCAAGTCCATAGTATTTTCAGTATTCTTCACCAACATGATTATTCAAAGGCTTCAACTCTTCTTTGGTCTTTATTCACTGTCCAGCTTCAGATGCATATGAGGCAGTTGAAAATACCATGACTTGGGTTAGACACACCTTAGTCTTCACAGTGACATCTTTGCTTCTTAACACTTTAAAGAGGTCTTTTGCAGCACTTTTGCCCAGTGCAGTACCACTCTGATTTCTTGACTGCTGCTTCCATGGATGTTGACTGTGGGTCTCAATAAAATGAAATCCCTGACAACTTCAGTCTTTTCTCATGATGTTGCTTAGTGATCCATTTGTAAGGATTTTTGTTTTCTTTATGTTGAGGTGTAATCCATACTAAAGACTGTCGTCTTTGATATTCATCAGTAAGTGCTTCAGGTCATCTTCACTTTCAGTAAGCAAGATTGCGTCGTCTGTATATCACAGGTTGCTAGTGAATTTTTCTCCAATCCTGATGCCACATTCTTCATACAGTCCACCTTCTCAGATTATTTGCTCAGCATACAAATTGAATAAGTATGGTGAAAGGATACAACCCTGACCCACACCCTTCCTGATTTTAAACCATTCAGTATCCTCTTGTTCTATTCAAACAGCTAACTGCCCCTTTCTCTATGTACGGGTTCCTCATGAGCACAATTAAATGTTCTGGAACTCCATTCTTCACAATGTTACCCATAATTTGTTATGATTCACATAGTCAAATGCCTTTGCATAACATAGAGGTAAACATCTTTCTGTTATTCTTTGCTTTTATCAAGAGCCATCTGACATTAGCAATGATATCCCTCATTCCATGTCCTCTTCTGAATCCAGGTTGAATTTCTGGAAGTTCCCAGTCAATGTACTACTGCAACCATTTTGAATAATCTTCAGCAAAATTTTACTTGTGTGCAATATTAATGATACTGCTTAATAATTTCCATATTCTGTTGGATCACCTTTCTTTCAAATGGGCACAAATATTGATCTCTTCGAGTCACTTGGCCAGGTTGCAGTCTTCCATATTTCTTGGCATAGATGAGTAATTGCCTCCAGTGCTTCATCCGTTTGTTGAAACACCTCAGTGGGTATTCTTTAAATTCGTAGAGCCTTGTTTTTTGCCAATTCCTTCAATGCAGCTTGGACTTCTTCCTTCATTACCATTGGTTCTTGATCATATGCTACCATCTGATGGAGTTGAACATCAACCAATTGTCCATCTTCTTTTGATGCTTCCTGCATCATTCAATATTCAATATTTGGCCCATAGAATCCTTCAGTATTGTAACTCAAGGCTTGAATTTTTTCTTCAGTTCTTTTAGATTGAGAAATGCCAAGCATGTTCTTCCCTTTTGGTTTTGTAACTCCTGGTCTTTGCAAATTTCATTTTTATAATTTATTTAGTTTCCTTGAGCTGCCTGTTGAAATCTTCTGTTCAGCTCTTTTATTTTATCATTTCTTCCATTCACTTCAGCTACTATCCATTCAAAAACAAGTTCAGAGTCTGACATCCATTTTGGCCTTTTCTTCCTTTGCTGTCTGTGTAATAACTACTTTCTTCATGTATAATATTCTAGATGTCATCCCACATCTAGTCTGGTTTTTGGTTGTTGGTGTTCAATGTGTCAAATTTATTCTTCAGATGGTCTCTAAATTCAGGTGGGATGTGATCATGGTCATATTTTAGCTCTTGTGAACTTCTTTTAATTGTCTTGAGCTTCAGCTTGAACTTCCATATGAGCAGTTGATAGCTTATTCCACAGTCAGCTCCTGGCCTTCTTTTCACTGAAAATACTGAGCTACTCCACTGCCTCTTTCCACAGATATACTCAGTCTGATTCCTGTCTATTCCATCTGGTGAGGCCATGTGAATAGCCACTGTTTACATTGTTGAAAAAAGGTATTTGCAATGAAGTTGTTGATCTTGCAAAATTCTACCACATGATCTTTGGGGTCATTTCTATCACCAACGCCATATTTTCCAACTGTTGGTGATTCTTCTGTTTCCAATTTTCACATTCCAGTCACCAGTAATAATCATACATCTTGATTGCATGTTGGGTCAGTTTCAGACTACAGAAGTTGGTTAAAATCTTCAATTTCTTCATCTTTGGCTTTAGTGGTTAGTGTGTAAATTTGAATAATAGTAGTAGTAACTGGTATTCCTTGTAACTGGTATGGATAGTATCCTATCACTGACAGCATTGTACTTCAGGATAAATCTTGAAACATTCTTTGTGATGATGAATGCAACCACATTCTCTTCCATTTGTCATTCCCAGTGTAGTAGACTATATGATTATCTAATTCAAAATGGCCAGTACCAGTCCATTTCTGCTCATTGATGTCTAGTATACTGATCTTTATTCTTTCCATTTCATTGTTTAGTAAGCTTCCACTTTTCCTAGATTCATACATCATACATTCCACGTTCCAGTTATTAATGAATATTTGCAGCTGTTTTTTTTCCCATTTTGAGTCATGCCTCATCAGCAAATGGAGGTCATGAAAGCTTTGCTCTATCCATGTCATTAAGGTCGACTCTACTTTGAGGAGGCAGCTATTCCCCTGTCAGATTTTGAGTGCTTTCCAATATGAAGGGGTCATCTTTTGGTACTGTATCAGACAGTGTTTCAGGGCTATTCATAAAGTTTTCTAGTAGCATATCAGACAGTGTTGCACTGCTGTTCATAAAGTTTTCACTGTCCAATATTTTGAAAGTGGATGGCCTCGTTCTTCTTCTCATTACATTAATACTAGGTAAAGTAAACGGTAAACTAGATTTTTTTAAAAAATTATGATTTGAGTGAAAGGTTACAGAGCAAATTCACTTTCCACATAGCAGCTCCCATATACTTTGTCTCATGACATTGACTATAATTTACCACAATGCAATAGCTCTCCACCCACTTCCTCCTCATAGTTACCTCTTCCCTGTGTCCTTCCCTCTATATTCTCCTGCCCCCTGAGTTGTGTCCCTGTACATACACAGCCCTACTATTCTCCCATGATTGTTCTCTCGAAGGAGTGTATCTACCTAATGGCAAATGTTCAGCTCATATGCCTATCTTTTGTTTGGATGAAAGCTACAGGAGTGGGTTCAATTCCAGACCTGAAGGGCAGCTGGGTGCATAGTCTCAGTGGTTTCATCAGGCTTGAATAGGCCCACAAACTTGGTCCCTTTTTTTTTTAAATGATTGTGAGTTTTGTTCCACATTGTTCTCCCACTCTATCCAGGATCTCCTACATAGATCCCCCTCCAAGTGGTTGACAGTGATAGCTGGGCACCATCTAGTTCTGGTCTCATAGTCGTATAGGGTGAGGATCACATGGGGAACCTGTCACTTGGACTAATTGTTTCTGTGAGTTTTTGGTTTTCTTCAATCTTCTTTGTTCTGGACGAGGAGAGACCCATTGGTAAACTAGATTTTATAACATAAATTCTACTTTCATACTGACTTTAATTATAAAGTAATTATCTTAGAAAAATTTATTTCTGAAAACAATAATAAATTTAGTACATGGAGTAAATTATAAAAATGATTTATCCTGTGTTTACTTTGAAAGTGAAGTTAAAGGAGAGTGAAACAAACTGTCAGTATAAATTCGATAGATACAGATTAATTTTTTGAATTAATTTGTGATACAACTAACCTATTAAAGACTTGTTTATATGTAATTAAAATTATTTTTCCAACAGCTAGATTACTAATACAAGATTTCGTTATTATGTGGGACAACTTTCTTGGTGTTTTGTTGAAGTTCTATCTTTTTCTACTGTTTTGTCTTACTTTAATCCTCTGTCCATTTCTCCTCTGAATAGACTATTAAGTGTTAGAAAGAATGTTCCAGTAAAGAAGAAACAGTATTTAAGCCTATTTTCAGGCAAGTTAGTTCTATGTAAAATGAACTATTGAAGAAGTGTGATCTACAGTTTTCTCAGGAGCTAGCAGAGAAGAGCAAAGAAACAAGTGATACTATATGTATTTGTACTAAATAAATTATTTTCATGCAGACAGAATTAAATAATTCAGATTATCATAAAATGGGCATACAATAATAGGATTAGAAATTGGTTAGTTGCTTGGGATATCTAGCATTACTCCAAGTTTAAAATTTAACATAAAACCAAGAAGCTGGTAATCTGATAGCTTCTCATTATGCACAAAGACTTGACTGCTAACCAGAAGGCTGGCGGTTCAAACCCACCAGCCACTCCTTCGAAGGAAGATGGGGCAATCTACTTCCATAGTGATACTGCCTCAGAAACCCAAGGAGAGGGGTCGCTAGGAGTCGGGTCCGACTCAACGGCACATAACGACAACAACAATAAGCCCTTCATAATGTTGCTGAATATAGAACTGCTGGATAATTAGAAAGAAGAACCAGGTCAGGATTCCCTTCCACTATTTCTTTTAAGGAATTTAAAATTCCTTTCTTCTGGAATGGTATTTATTGGAAAGGTACTTTGCTTTAAAGAATAGCATTATTTTCCAGCATTCAAAAAATATTATTACTTAAGCTAACAATAAAAGAAAAAAATTAAAGAAGATTCACCTGCAGCCCACTTTCATTTTCCGTTTGCACACATTTTCATAATTTAATTAATAAAATATAAAATTATCTTTTACTCAGTATCATTTTATAAAATTATCTGTTTGCTGCTGTGTTTTTAATTATGACTTTAAATGATTGCATTATTATTTATTCAACCTTCCCCTTTCAGGAGGAGGTGAAGAATATTATAAAATACATATTAAATTATATGTATTGTTCATAATATTTTAAAGATAATTCCTATTGGCAGATTATCAGGATTCACATTAATAGGACAAAGAGCATGCTCGTTTTTCTTTTTTTTTTTTTCCTTCTCTTTTTTTACTGTGATTTGGATGAAAGCTTACAGAGGAAATTGGTTTTCCATTCCACAGTCCATACACATTCTGTTTTGTGACATTTACTGCAATCCCAATACTGTAACAGCATTCTTCCCACTTCCTCTGTATACCCACCCTTTCCCTTCCTTTCTTCTCTTCCTTCCTTCTTCCTTTCCATGCCCTCCCACCTTCCTAGCTCTATCCCTGGGCAGATGTTGTCCTCTTGATCTCATGTGCTTGATTGTTTCAATGAATGCATACCCTCTTGGTGTTATTGTTCGCCTTATAAGTCTATCTATTGTTTGGCTGCTGATTGAGTCACTGGGGTTCAGCTCAGTTCTTAGCTTGAAGGATGTTTAAGTGCTATAATCTCAGGTTCCACCAGTCCTCATCAGATCAGTAAGCCTGGTCTTTCTTATGATTTTCAGTTTTGTTCCATATCTGGGACCAGTTTATCTGGGACCTCTTATTGTGATCCCTTTCAGAGCAGTAAGCAGTGGTAACTGGTTACCATCTAGTTCTTCTGGTCTCAGGGTCATGAAGGCTGGGGTTCATATATAAAAAGCATACTTTTTCATCTTCCTAATAGATATTCCCAGATAACCTTAAAGGTATCTTTTAAAGCAATTTTAGGGACCATCATATTTAGTTCCTAAATATTTGAGGTGAACAAGTGAAATTGTTTAGTTATTACTATCATTGCTTTATCTGTATATTGGAGCATAAATATTCAGGAAAACTTGATGGGGTTATAAACAGAATGGCGACACTAACATTTATGTTGTACTTTCATGCTTTATTACAGCTATTCATAAGGGGAAAAGACACATCCAGAAGAGTCTGGAGGAATCCATGGCCTTCTGTGTTCTCTCCTTCCTGCTGAGAAGGGGTCACACAGAACATACTCATTTCTCTAACAGCAAAATGCAGCAACACATGTGGCATATTTCTTCCCATGCAACCTTGCTCATGACTCCAAGTTGAGGGTTTTTATTGGGGCTGGTCATATAGGCACAGTGATGAGTTACAGCTATTTAGATTCCAGACTCCCAAAGGGAAGCAGGCTTCAGTGCCTCAGCTGGGAAAAAATAGCCTTATTGTTTAAGAAACATTTCCAAACTCATTTCCAGAGCTCAGCCAGGAACCAGCCCTGCAAGCAGGACCACATTTCCCTGTCAGAAAAATGAACCCTGCCTTCCCACCTGACAAACTGCAGCCATGAATACAGTTGCTCAACATGGAAAATGGGATACCTAATAAGGAAGAATGTTTTGATAGTTTATTGCTTTTTATTTTAAACGTTTAATTATAATGAGAACATTTCATGTATTGAGAAAAATATGTATTTGTTAGGTATATTGTTTGCAGAAGGAGCTAAAGATTAAAAATCACAGTCTTCAAGAGACCACTGAGCAAAATGTTATTCTACAGCACACTCTTCAGCAGCAACAGCAGATGTTGCAACAAGAGACGATTAGGAATGGAGAGCTAGAAGACATTCAAACTAAACTTGAAAAACAGGTATATATCGGCTAAAATGATTTTATTTGTCTGAAATAGAAATTTTAAAAAATTGTTCATAGAACTTTTGGTTGGCTTTATAATTGCTGTTTAACATCAAAGAGTTCATGTTGTAGGTATGTTCTATATTTACATTGTAAAATAGATAAAATTCTGTTCCTGTGTAATCCATCTACATCTCTAGTAAGGGCCACATTTTCATCATTCCATATAACAGTCTACATGCAGCGGTCAAGATACCAGGCGACGTATTGCGTTGGGCAAATATGCTGTAAAGGACCTCTTTCAAGTGATGAAGAGCAAAGCTCTCTCCTTGAAGACTAAGGTGTGCCTAATCCAAGCCATGGTATTTTCAGTCGCCTCTTTCACATGTGAGAGCTGGACAATGAATAAGGAAGACTTAAAGAAGAGTTGAGGCTTCTGAGTTGTGTTGGAGAAGAATGCTAAGAGTACCATGGTGTGCTAAAAGGACTAACAGATCTGTCCTGGAGGAAGTACAGCCGGAATGCTCCTTGGAAGCAAGAATGGCCAGACTTTGTCTCACCTACTTTGGTCATGTTGTCAGAAGGAACCATTCCCTGGAGAAGGATATCATGCTTGGTAAAGTGGAGGGGCAGCAAAAAAGGGGAAGGCCCTCAACAAATTGGATAGATACAGTGGCTGCAGCGATGGGCTCAGGTATAGCAAGGATCATGAGGCTGGCATAGGACTGGGCAGTGTCTTGTTCTGCTGTGCATAGCGTCACTGTGAGTCGGAGATGACCTAATGGCACCTAACAACAACAACATATAACTTAGGTAAAATTTAGACTCCTTTATTCAAGCATTCTTTTTTATTTCTTGGATCTGAGTTCAATACCTACCTGAATCATATCTTCTGTCTCCTTTTTGAATCAGAATATGATGTGATTATGCCTAAAGAAGTACCAAAGCAGTGCATTAAAAGAAAAATGCCAAAAGAGAATGCTCCTGCTATTTATTTCTAAAACTAAATATTCTAGTGAGAATCACAGGGAATTTTATGCTCGAATCTAATATTTCCTCTTACATTCACCACCAGATTCCTCTGAATTCTTTAAATAAATATTTAACATTTCAAATTTGTTTTCCATAAGAAATCAAACTTTCTAGAAATGTAAAAATTGTACAGTGTTAGTTCCTTTTTTGTCATTTTTTATCTACTTATTCTTAATTCATCTTCAGCCTCTCTTTTTGATACATTGTTCAGACACATCAAGCAGGGATTCCCTTGTTTTTTGTTTTTGTCTTTTTAAGACACATCCCTTCCGTGGCTGTCCATCCCTTTTGTTAAAGTGCAGACCTTTTACATTCTATTCCTGCTTCATGGCTTCATTCTGAAACATTTCTTCATCTCATCTGTGTTTGATTCCCATTACCTGAATTCCTTTTCATTGGCCCTGATTTGTGCAACATATTGAGTTTCTTATTCCATCTAAAGTGGTTTTTATTTCTATAATGGTTTTATAATTTTTTTCAATTGTTTTTTTCCTTACCTCTACTAGCTCATTTGTATTTTCCATTTGGTGCTTTTGTATCTTCACAATCTTTGTTTTAAAAGACTTTGTGCTTTCTTTGACTTCTTTGAGAGTCCAAAGAAGTGCTCATCTAAAAATTTCTTCAGTATTTGATTATTCCAGTATGGGTTAGTTCCTGTTATACTGTTACTACTCATCTTTAGATTCTTTCTGCTTATGACTGTACTGTTTAATCAAGAATAGGAAGGATAGATTTTCTTTCATTCTCTTCCCTTTTTACTTGGGTACTGTTTTAATTTTATTCGTAATAGTTGAGTTGGAGGGGGTGAGTATTAATTGTTTATAATCTCTATTTAATTTTTCAGTGAGAAGTTTTAGGATAAGAGGAGAGAAGATATTTGAAGCCAAAGATAACCTTTGAGGTCACAGTTATGTAAATGTTCATTGAAAACATGGAGTGACTGAGATTGCTTAGGTAGGAGGACAGTATAGTATAAGCAGATCAAAGATGGGTTTGGACAAATCCCTGAAGGATATGGTTTATGAAAGCCAAAATAAGTAAGTCTTTGAAGATTGGTAGTTGGTGTCACAGGTTGCTGCAATCAATGTCAAGTAAAAAGAAGATTGAGAAATGTCCACTGGAGTTAGCAGCATACAGGTCATTGGTCTTTGATCTTCATCACTAAGTGCTTCAATTCCTCTTCACTATCAGCAAGCAAGGTTGTGTCATTTGCATTATCACAAGTTTTTAATTAGTCTTCCCCTACTCTTGGTGCTGCATTCTTCTTCATATAGTCCAGCTTTTCAGATTATTTGCTTAGGATACAGATTGAATAATACGGTGAAAGGATACAACCCTAACACTCATCTTTCCTGATTTTAAACCATGCAGTATCTGCTTATTGTGTTGTAATGACTTCCTCTTGGTCTGTGTACAGGTTCCTATGAGCACAAATGTGGATCTCTTCCAACTAGTTGGCCAGGTAGTTGTCTTTCAAATTTCTTGACATGAATGAGTGGGCACTTCCAGTGTTGCATCCATTTGTTGAAACATCTCAGTTAGTATTCTGTCAGTATGGAGCCTTCTTTTTCTCCAGTGTCTTCAGTGCAGCTTGGACTTCTTTTTTCCATTCCATTGGTTCTTGATCTGAATGTGGACCAGTTCTTTTTGGTACAGTGACACTGTGCATTCCTTCCATCTTCTTTTGATGCTTTCTGCATCATTCAATGTTTTGTCATGCACTATTGCAACTTGAGGCTTAATTTTTTTCTATAGTTCTTGTATCTTGAGAAATGTCAAGCATGTTCTTTCATTTTCCATTGTCAGGTCTTTGCACATTTCATTATAATACTCTATCCTCATGAGCTGCCCTTGGAAATCTTCTCTTCAGATCTTTTACTTTATCATTTCCATTTGCTTTAGCTTCTCTCCTTTCAAGAGCAAGTTTCAGAGTCTCTTCTGACACCCATTTTGCTCTTCTCTTCTTTTCCTGTATTTTTAGTAACCTTTTGCTTTCTTCATGTATAATATTCTTGATGTCATCCTATAACTTGCCTGGTCTTTGGTCACTGGTGTTCATGCATCGTATTTATTCAGATGTTCTCTAAATTCAAGTGGGATATACTCAAGGTCGTATTTTGGTTCTTGTGGATTTTTTTTTAATTTTCTTAAGCTTCAACTTGAATGTACATATGATCCACAGTTGGCTTTGTTCCAACTGATGATATTGAGCTGCCACATCATCTTTTTCCACAGATGTATTCTGTTTGATCCTTGTATATTCCATTTGGCAAGGTCCATATGTGTATTGCTGTTTATGTTATTGAAAAAGATATTTGTAATGAATAGGTTGGACTTGCAGAATTCTATCATGCAATCTCTGGTGTTTCCATCACCAAGGCCATATTTTCCAACACTGATCCTTCTTGTTTCCAGTTTTCGCATTCCAGTCACCAATACATCTTTATTGCCTGTTTGATCAATTTCAGACTGCAGAAATTGGTAAAATCTTCAATTTCTTCATCTTTGGTAGTAGTGGTTTTACTTAGATCCGCAGTCACTGCCCATGGAGACAGTATTAAGAAATCAAATGATACATTGCATCGGGCATATCAGCTGCAAAAGACCTCTTTAAAGTATTCAGAAGAAAATATGTCACTTGGAGGACCAAGGTCTGCCTGACCCAAGCTATGGTATTTTCAGTCACCTCCTGTACATGCAAAAACTGGACAATGAATAAGGAAGACAAAAGAAGAATTGATACATTTGAATAGGGTGCTGGCAAAGAATATTGAACATACCATAGATTGTCAGAACAAATAAATCTGTCTTGGAAGAAGTACAGCCAGAATACTGTGTAGAAGTGAGGATGGCAAGACTTCGTCTTATGTACTTGGGACATGTTTTCAGGAAGGACTAGTCCCTGAAGGATATCATGTTTAGTAAAGTAGAGGGTCAGAGAAAAAGAGGAATACCCTCAACAAAATAGATGAGACAGTAGCTGCAACAATGGGCTCAGACATAGCAGTGATTGTGAGGATAGCACAGGACCAGGCAGTGTCTCACTGTGTTCTATAGAGGATCAATATGAGTTGCAACCAACTCAACGGCACCTAACAACAACAGATCATTGGTGATGTAATTGCAGTTTCTGTAGAATGGCCAGATTGCTATAAGTAAGGAATAAATGGAAATTAAGACAATAATAAAATAAGAAAAAATTATTTTGAGAAACTGAGGAGAAAAAGGGTGGCAGTTGGAGGGAGTAGAGGTATGAAGGAAAGTTTTTAATATAGGAGGTCTTAAACATGTTTAAATAATAACATAAACCAGGAGAAAGAAAAAAGTTGGAAATACAAGAGAATAGAGGTAGTCTATAGTATGAGGAGTTTCTGGGTGACACAAACAATTTAGAACTTGACTCATAATCAAAAGGTTGGTCGTTTGAATCCACCTAGAGGCACCTTGGAAGAAAGTCCTGACAGTCTACCTCCAAAAACCTTATGGAATACACTTCTACTCTCTACATGTGGAGTTACCATGAGTTGGAATCAACTAGACTGCAGCTAGTTAGGTTATGGTATGAGGTTCCTGAAAAAGTAGATAGGGATTGAATCCAGAACACTTACAAAGCTATTTGACTTATGTGGGAGAAAGAGTACCTCCTTCATTGTAGCAGAACAGAAGGAAGAGTGGATGCAAACAAATTCAAGTTGTGTTGGGAACCAATGAAAGTGGTAAGATTTGATGTTAGATGGAAATCTGGAAATCTTTCCTTGAGAAGATCTGAACCAGTTTGTGAATAAGGAAGGGAACATAGTTTGATAGGAGATGAAAACATTTCAAATAGGGACAGTAAAAGGAGAACATTTGTAATTATTTTCTTCAATTCTTTTAAGTCCTATTTTAAAGTTATGATGTAACCCATTCTCTAAATATGTGTATGACCAAATTATCTTTATTTTTAAATTTCAAGCTTTATTTTTATATTTCCAAAACATTACTTCCTGATCTATACTTTGATTTTTGTATTCCACTTTGAAATTAAGTGATAGGCTACGCTACTTATTTGTATTAATAGTTTTCTTCTAAAGAATGAATTGTGACTTAATTTAAAACACTGCTTTATACAAGGTATCAAAACTGGAACAAGAGCTTCAAAAGCAAAGGGAAAGTTCAGCTGAAAAGATAAGAAAAATGGAGGACAGATGTGAAACAGCTACACGTGAAGCGGATTTGAAAAGGCAGAAAATTATTGAACTTACTGGTATTGGCAGGTAAAATGTGAATATTGTAGTTTTTATTTACCTTCTTGTTTCAACATCAGTAGAATCTGAGTTTTAAATCAGATAATGTTCAGTAAAACATTTGCTTCAGAATTAATTTCTTCACAGTCTGTGTTCCTATGACATTTTGTTTGTACCTCTCTAAAATCCCACATTATGACTTTTTTTGAAATACAGTTTAATATCCCAGCCCTGGGAGCTCTGGTAGCATAGTGCCTAAGGCACTTGACTGCAAACCAGAAGACTGGCAGTTCAAACCCACCAGTCACTCCTCGGAAGGAAGGTTGGGCAATCTACTTCCATAGTGATACCACCTCGGAAACCCAAGGAGGGGTCGCTATGAGTCGGGGCCAACTCAACGGCACGTAACAACAACAATCCCAGCCCTTTATTACATTGTAGCTTTCTTAAGTCAGAAATCATATCTGGTTTATTCTGAGCTCCACCACAACAACTAGCACATGTCCCCCAGGCTGCCTCTCTTTCATCAACAGGATTAAGATAGGGTCTGTGAGTGCAGAATAGTAACTCACATCTCCAGATGTCCTTGACTCTCTCTATAGAATCAAAAGGGTGTCTTATATTTCAAACCAAAACTACAGTTCTTCAGACCTTCTTTCTTCCATTGACATGTCTGCCCACTAACAATTACAGTCTTTTCACTAACATCTACCTTGAGTTCACAAAAACTAATCACGTTATAACTTTATTTGTACCAGATGCCACAATTAGCCCTAGATTTCCAGGTAAACCCTCATCTCTCACAGTGATTCCTCAAAAGCTCTGTATATATTCTGTTCTCCCACTGTCTCGACTTCTAAAAACTCTCTGTCCTTCTTCAGCTGCTCTCATGGTTTACCCTAGATCTTGTCATTCCCAATATCTACAGTCTCTCGATAAACTGAATATTATATATCTACTCATCACCTCATTCCCCCTATGAGTAGGAGGCAGAGCTGGACCCCAAGGTTGAGGGGCTTTCACCCAGCCCCTGGAACCTGGCACTTTGAGCTTGGACTTAAAGCCTCCAAATTATAAGAATAAACTCCTGTTTGTTAAGGCTGTCCCATTTGGGTATATTCCTGTCAGAGCGGCACTAGGTAACCAGAACACCCCCTAATAGCCAGAATCCCCTAACCTGTAATCCATCAATTCTACCACTGTCTCATTGCTTTGATGCACTCTCTCCTTGCTTTGCTTGACTTAAATTCTAGTTGTTGTTGTTATATGCCGTCGAGTCAGACCCGACTCACAGCGACCCCTCCTTGGGTTTCCGAGGCAGTATCACTACGGAAGTAGATTGCCCCATCTTCATTCCGAGGAGTGGCTGGTGGGTTTGAACCGCCAGCCTTCTGGTTAGCAGTCAAGTGCCTTAGCCACTATGCTACCAGAGCTCCCATAATTCTAGTTAGTCATTGAAATCACTAATTTTCATATCTTTGAATTCCCTTACCCTGCCTTACTTTGTAGTATATAGCACTCAGTTAAATCCAACTTAGACTTCTCTGTGCCTTCATTTTTACAGAGGCTAGGGGTTAATACAACTACACTGATTATTCTCACTCTAAGTTCATGTCTTCAAACCTCAAGTTCTCTTAATGCTTCCTGGCAATCACTACAGTTCCCACTCTTGTGGAAGCCTGTTTTATACCTCTGCCTCTTCTTTCAAACCTCCAGCACCTCTTCCCCAGTCCTTACTCTCACTGATGATCTTGCTTTCTGTTTCACTGAAAAAATTAAAATAATTACTTCCTCCTTTCCTTTCTTTACTCTTCTGGTATAAAACCAGTCTTCTGTTGGTGTCTCAAGGTTGCTGTTACACATCAGTTCTTATGCCATACTAAAATATAATGATGCCCTAATGAAACCTCAGGTATATAGAGTTCTTGTTTGTCTTTCACTCGATGTCTGTGGACTGCTGTGGTTTTAGAGTTGTTGTATCTCTTTTTTTTTATAATATTTTCCCAACTCCTTTGCTGTCAGTTTGTTAGCCTTTGACTCTGTATGCCAACATCTTTCAATTATTATTTTCTAATTATCTGTTTAAATCCACTCTAGTATAAGAAAGTAAATCATAAAACTAAACATCATTTACCTGGGCTTTTTGAACTGTGAAACAGTCATTAGTACTTGTGTAATAAAGTAGTTCTTAACTTTGTTGGGCATGGACACATTTGAGGATCTGGTAAAAAGGAATTTTTTTTTTTTCTATACAAAGATGTACATGTTGTTGTTGTTGTTATGTGCTGTTGAGTTGGACCCAGCTCATAGCGACCCCTCTTTGGGTTTCCAAGGCAGTATCACTACGGAAGTAGATTGCCCCATCTTCCTTCCGAGGAGTAGCTGGTGAGTTTGAACCTCCAGCCTTCTGGTTAGCAGTCCCAGTGCCTTAGGCACTGTGCTACCAGAGCGCCTGAAGATGTACATGTGCCTACTTAATTTTGCATATAATTTTAGGGGCTTATGTATTTCCTCAGTTTTACCCATGGGTATCAGTTTAAGAACCCTTTGAACTAATCCATATTTGCTTAAGTTGTGTTCAGAGAAGAATTACAATGTGCTGTGTAGTTGCTTCTACTTGCAAACTTTATTTATAAGTTAAATGCCAAAAGGAAAAAAAAGGTCTGTTGATGCAAAGGGTATCACAGTTGAGGATGACATTAAACCAAACCAAACCTACTATCATTGAGTCAATTCTGACTCATAGTGACACATTAGGACGAGAGAGAACTGCCCCCATAGGGTTTCTAAGGCTCTAAGTATTTATGGAAGCAGCCTGCCTTGTCTTTCACCTGTAGAGCAATTGGTGGGTTATGAACCGCTGACTTTTCAGTTAGCAGCTGAATGTTTTAACCACTGCACTACCAGAGATCTCATTGAGGATGACATTAGTGATTGTAAGTGTCACTTTGGAAAGACCAACAAATGGACTTAAATCTGCCTGTTGGTTTATTTATAGGTAGAGAAGCTTCTATACTGGAATCAGGTCATCACTGATTGAAAGTTAGTAAACTTGACTCTATCACTAGTCATAATTAATTATACTCTTTCAGACAATTCATTTAACTTTCTAATTTCTTCCTTTGTAAAGCAGGGAAGTTACACTAGTGTAGAAGTCAGTGGATGCTTTTAATGCTAAAAATAATAATAATAATAACACCAATAATAAGTATATGAGTAAAAACAGCTGACTTGGTTCTCCGGTGGTGGTATGGATATTTTGATGAATATTTTGATTTCTTGGATTACTTGGAGTTAATCCCTCTTTATTGTCTGTGTTGCAGGTAACAGAAATTACAGATGAATAAGGCACCTATCCATGGATTTTCTCAATACATACAAATCTCTATAAAAATTCAGTATAGCTAGATTGAAAAGAGTGCTAGCCTTATTAAGTATTAGCAAGTAGTACAGTTTTATTTAGTGGTATGTAATGGGTACAGAATTACAATTATTTAGTTGTGGCATTTTAAAAAATATAATATGTGATTTAAGTTTTATTTGTCCTTGCACTATTTGCAAGCTTTGTTTAGTCAGGAAAAGCCAATTGGTATTTAAGTTTCTGAATTATCATTTATTATGTGTTTTATTTTTTGGTTTCAATTAGGCAAGTAAAACTTGAGATGGATCAGTGCAAAGAAGAACTGTCTAGAATGGAAAAAGAAATAATGCACCTAAAACGAGATGGAGAAAATAAAGCAATTCATATTTCTCAATTAGATATGATCTTAGAACAGACAAAGACAGAACTAGATAAGAAAACAAATGCTGGTAAGCAACTAGTTAGCTGAGCTTTTTAATTTTCACAGTGAAAATTTGAGATGGTGGGGTTGGAAGGGACAGTGAGTAGTCGTCAGTCAGTATTTTGCCAGATATTCTTTTTTTTTTTCCCTCATCTGCTTTTGTTATATTGCCTTTCCCTTTACCCACATTGCCATATATTCTTCATAATATTATTTGTAAAGTTTTAAATAATGACATGTTTTATATATATATATATATATATATATATATATATATACACACACACCTACTCCTCACTTATTGCCTATCTTATTATCTGACATTTCACATTTATAGCAACTTTGAAAAAATTCTCAGGCACATCTCCAATAGTCCAGGCCCCACAAGGAGTGCAGCTCAGCTGGGGTGCCCTATGTGTTTCACCCTGAACAGTGTACCAGAGGCCCGAGCAATAACTGGGCCATATGAGGGACAGTGGCTGGTTGGCCATGAGTTGCGTTTACGTGTTCATCCTCTGTGATATCTTGGCCCACGGAGGGTGCAGGATAATGACAAGACAATGCAAGATGATGGGCAGGCATGGGGAAGTCAGGCAGGAGCCTGAAAATGCAAGGAGGTCAGTGGAGGGATGTGAGAAAGAGGGGAGAGGGAAGGTAGCCATGTAGGGATGCAGGACCTTGGTGGAGGGAGCATGAGTGGGCTTCTACTCAGAACAGGCAGAGGAAGGCAGCAGATGGTGCGTGGTATAGGTGGTAGACAATACCCAGTCACAACCACCCCCAGTTCCCATGGGCCCTGTGGTGGTGGGGAAGGGGGGCCCATCATGTCATGCATATGCCACACTCATCCCACACTCCGTGGACACAGATGCGTGGTGCCAGAGATAGGGGACAGCTCAGACTTGGATAACTCTGATTTTGCAGAATGACCTGATCTTTGGAACCTAACCATGTGGCTAAGTGAGGAGCGGGTGTAGTTCTAAAATTACTCTTTCTTCTTAACAGTGAAGGAATTAGAAAAGTTACATCACCAGACTGAAACTGAACTAACAGAAGCCTCTCAGAAACGGGAAGCACTAGAGACTGAACTGCAAAATGCTCATGGAGAATTAAAAAGTACTTTAAGACAACTGCAAGAATTGAGAGATGTACTACAGAAGGCTCAATTATCCCTGGAGGAAAAATATACTACTATAAAAGATCTCACAGCAGAACTTAGGTAAGCTAAATACTAAGAAATGATAGAACAATTACAGGTATTTCACTTTATTATTCTGACTCTTTGGGTGATACAAAACTAGAGAGAATCCAAGTGAGTACAAACTTTTCATATTCTGAGTGTATGTTCAATTAAAGTTTGTTGTCTGATTTCTTCATGTCAAACTTTTCAACTGCCCTTGGCCCCGTGGTTCATCCTAATCAGCCCATTCCTTGCTCCATGTAATTTACTTACTGCTGTTGGCTGTCAATAAAATGGTCTTTAGTAATGTAAGTTTAGACCATTTTATAGTGGCCCTCTCCTGTATCTCATAGTGGTAAAAAATGATTGGGCCAGTGGACAGTGGTATTAATACTAGTAATATTGTTACTTGTATTAAGACCTTGTTTTGTGCAAGAACTATGTCAGGGACTTCACATATGATCTCATTCATTTCTTTACAGCAAACCTATCAGATAGTTACTATCCACTTACAGTTGAGAAAACTGAGGCTTGACAAAATAAGTAAATGCCCAAGGTCAACAGGTAATACAATTAGAGAAGGAAGTTAAACATATTCTGCCCAACTTTAAAATTTGGGTTCTTAGATTAGCAATAGCACAAAATGGTGAAGCAGCACACATCTATGGTAAGTGGGGATGAAGAACCAGACCAGAGCCAAAGTAGAGGAAATAGATCCAGAAAATGGAAACAAGAGTTACAAACCAGGATATGAAATGTGAAACAAAGCAATAGGACATAGAGAGTCAAAACAACCAATAAATTACATGTTATATCCCAGGATTCAATGCTGAGTCCCCTTCTCCACCCACAAACTCATCCTTAGTTAATTTCATGTAACTTTAAATGTTGTTATTGTTAGGTGCTGTTGACTCCAATTCAAAGTGATCCTATAGACAACATAATAAAACACTGCTCAGTCATGCACCATCCTTACAATCCTTGCTTTATCGGAACCCATCGTTGCAGCCACTGTGTCAATCCATCTCATTGAGGGTCATGTCCTTTTTCATTAACCCTCCACTTTACCACGTATGATATCCTTCTCCAGGGAATGGTCCTTTCTGACAACATGATCAAATTAGTGTGATGAAGTCTGGTCATTCTCACTTCTAAGGAGCATTCTGGCTGTGCTTCTTTCAGAACAGATTTGTTCATTGTTCTGGCAGTCCATGGAACTTTCAGTCTTCGTCAGCACCACAACTCCAAAGCATCAATTCTTCTTTGGTCTTCATTATTCATTGTCCAGGTTTCACATGCATATGAGGCAACTGAAAATACCATTGCTTGAGTTAGGCATACCTTAGGCTTCAAAGAGACACCTTTACTCTTCAGCACTTTAAAGAGGTCTTTTGCAACAGATTTACCCAGTGCAGTACAACGTCTTACTTCTTCACTGTTGCTTCCATGGGTGTTGATTGTGGATCCAACTAATAAAAAGTCTTTGACAATTTCAATCTTTTCTCCATTTATCGTGATGCTGCTTATTAGTCTGGCTGTGAGTATTTTTATTTTCTTTATTTTGTGGTGTAATCCACACTGCAGACTGTAGTCTTTAATATTCATTAGTAAGTGCTTCAAGTCATCTTCACTTTCAGCAAGCAAGGTTGTGTCGTCTGCATACTGCAGGTTGTTAATGAGTCTTCCTCCAATCCTGATACCATGTTCTTCTTCATATAGTCCAGGTTCTTGGATTATGTGCTCAGCATACAGATTGAATAAGTATGGTGAAAGGATACAACCCTGACACAACCCTTCCTGATTTTAAATCATGTGGTATCCCCTTGTTCTAATTGAATGTCAGCCTCCTCCTCAGATTCCTCATGAGCGCAATTTAGTGTTCTGGAATTCCCATTCTTTGCAATGTTATACACAATTTGTTATGATCCACACAGTCGAATGCTTTTGCATTGTCAATAAAACACAAGCAAACATTTTTCTCGTATTCTTTGTTTTCAGCCAAGATCCATCTGACATCAGCAGTGATATCCCTCGTTCCACATCCTCTTCTGAGTCTGGCTTCTATTTCTTTCAGTTCCCTGTCAATATACTGCTGCAACCATTTTCGAATTATTTTCAGCAAAATTTTACTAGCATGTAATATTAAAGATACTGTTCGATAATTTTCACATTCTGTTGGATCACCTTCCTTTGGAATGTCTACAAATGCGGGTCTCTTCCAGTCAATTAACCAGGTAGCTTCCTTCCACATTTCTTGGCATAGAGAAGTAATACCTCCAGTGTGGCGTCCATTTGTTGAAACATCTCAATGGGTATTCCTGGAGCCTTGTTCTTTGCCAGTTGCTTCAGTACAACTTTGACTTCTTCCTTCAATACCATTGGTTCTTGATCATGTGCCATCTCCTGAAATAGTTGAACATTGACCAGTTCTTTTTTGTACAGTGACTCTGTGTATTCCTTCCATCTTCTTTTGATGTTTCCTACATTCAAAATTTTGCCCTTAGAATCTTTCACCATTGTATCTTGAGGCTTGAATGTTTTCTTCCGTTCTTTCAGCTTGAGAAATGTTGATAATGTTCTTCTCTTTTGTTTTTCTAGCTCCAGGTCTTTGCATATTTCATTATAATAATTGACTTCTTGGCTGCTTTTTGAAATCTTCTATTCAGCTTTTTTATCTTGTCATTTCTTCCATTTGCTTCAGCTACTCTCTGTTCATAGCAAGTTTCAGAGTCTCTTCTGACATCCATTTTGGACTTTTTTTTCCTTTCCTGTCTTTTTAATGACCTTTTGTTTTCTTCATGGATGATGTTCTTGATGTCATCCCACAGTTCCTCTGGTTTTTGGTCATTGGTGTTCAGTGCATCAAATCTATTTTTTGGGTAGTCTGTAAATTCAGGTGGGATATAATCAAGGTCATATTTTGGCTCTTGTGGACTTTTTTTTTAAATTAGCTTCAGCTTCAGCTTGAAGTTCCATATGAACAATTGATAGTCGGTTCTACAGTCAGCTCCTGGCCTTGTTTTGGCTGAAGATACTGAGCTTCTCTAGCACCTCTTTCCACAGATGTAGTCATTTTGATCCCTGTGTATTCCATCTGGCGAGGTCCATGTGCACAGCCACAGTATGACAAACTGACAGATAATTGGTGGAACTTTAAATGCTATATGTCAAAGATTTTCCAACCTATATCTCTAGAATTGACCTCGTTCCTGAATTCCAGACTCAGATATCCACCTACCTGCTTGTTATCTCCACTTGGATATTTTTAAGAGATAGCTCATAGTTGGCCAAAACAGAAGTAAATATTTTCCTCTCAGCCCTGCCCTTCTCCCATCTGTGTATCATGCAGTTGGTCAAACCAGAAATCTGTGAGGTTATTCTTGTTATCTGTTAGCCTCCATTCTTTTATCTAGCATATTAGTAAGTCATGTCAATTTTATTTCCAAAACATATTCTGAAATCCATTGATTTCTTGGCCTCTTTTCTATTACTACCTCAGCACAAACCATCAGTAAATACCTGATCTGTTGCAGTGCAGTCCAGGTTGGTCTCCCTACAGACATTCATGCCCTTCCTACAGTTATTTTCCACAGAAACCAGTGATAAAATAGAAATCAGATCATATCACTTCCCTACTTAAACCTTCTAGTTATTTCCCAAAACTTGAGAATAAAATCCAAACTGCTTAACCTCTTTATCCTGGCATACAAAACTCTACATGATTAGGATCCTGTCTGCCTCTCTGGCCTTATTTCATACCACTCGCCATGCTCCTTTTTATTTATCTTTAAACTTCCGAAGTTTGTTCCCCCTTTAGGTTCCTTGCCATGGCTGTTTCTTCTGCTTGAAATAATGGTGGTATAATGGTATAACCACTTACTTCTTGCCTTTCTCATTACCACAGAGGGGCCTTCCCTGACTACCCAGTCACTATCTCATCACATTAGTCAGTGCTCTAATAATAGCACTTAATATAATAATAGTTTCTTGTTTAGTTTATTATTTGCATTGTTTCTTCTCTCCAACTTCTATTAGAATGTAAGTTCTGAGAATCCAGAAACATCTTTTTAAGTATTAAATCCTCAGTTCTTAGAACCTGGCATATGGAAAGCTTCCAGTAAGTATTTGCTGAGTGAGTGTTAAATGAATGAATGTGTGGAAGAAGTATATAGGAAAATCTTAAATTCTATCAAATAACAGAATTTTGGCAGCTCAGCTTTTCATATGGACAGAAATGGAACTTTTCCTTAGAATCCATTTCATTTTATTTTTAGATTATTATTTTTAGCCTTGTATTATAACTTTTGAGACTTTTAGAATAAACAACTCATTAAAGTAAAAGTTTAGAATTTCCTCCTAAAAATCAATATCTTTATTCAATATTATTTCACATTTCAGACTGGAAAATCATATGAAGATTTTCAATATTAACAACATGTACAGCCTTAGTCATATTAGAACTTAAGAGTTCCAGATTAAAATTCTCTGATCACACACATTCTTTAGAGTGGTAGACTGTCAGTGTTAAGCATTTTTATAATGCAAAGTTATGCATAGGGTAGAGTTCTAGGAGGATTAGAGTTTGTAAAAATAATTAAAATTTTTTTTTTTTTTTTTTT